ATGGATGGGCGCGCGCCTTCAACTAACCGTTCGTGCGGCACCGCAACCGCACCGAGACTTAATTAATCGCCGAGCGCGACAAATCTGCTTTTTGACGCCGAATGAAAAGACCAACTTTGGCTGCAACACTCTCTTGAGATTGGAAAACGGATGAGAAAAAAATCAATCAGAATGAAGGGTGTAAATTGTAAGATGATGTGAATGCAGAGAGGGCAGAGAAGTTTATAAGCAGAAATTTAAAAAAAAAAAATATAATAATAATAAGCAATGAATTTATTTTTCACTAAGAAATTTAATTTCAATTTAAATCGGAAAAGATGAGTCTGATTTTTTTTATTAAAGGGCCTCTTGAGTAATAATTTTAATTTTTTAATAAAAAAAAAATGGCTTTGTATTTAAGAGATGGAACGGGATAGCCAAAAAAAATTTTTTTCAATTAATATCCAGATTTTTCAGTAAAGAAATTTTATATTCTATAAAATTCTAGAATAAGAATTATTTCTGAAGAGGGAATCTGGTTAAATGCTAATAAAAAAAATTCATTTTTTATTAATTGTACAGAATAATTAATATTTTCGCATTGATTGAATCTGAGATTAGCTTCGTCACTTGTTTTCGGATTCACTAATGCGTGTTTCTGACTCTCTGGCAAATCGAAATCACCCCTAACCCTAATCGGGCCGAATTAAAGCTCAGTACCAAGAGGCCTCTCTCACTTTCCATTGGCAAATAAGGGTGCTGCAGCAGGCACAACACACTTGAGCGCAATCAGCGTCGGCAAACTGCTCTTGCTCTCTCTCCCGCGCGTTCAATCCTCTGTGAGAGGCAAACAAAGGACAGGAAACTCAATCTAAAGCATAATGCAAAGTACATATATATGAATTCGCTGCTCTCAAGAGGGTGGACGAGCCGTGCAGTGTTTTCCAAACACGCGCGCTCCCGCTCCTTGGCCACGCGCACTCGATACTCTTTTCCCTTCTTCATTCATAGCGCGCGCAATGACAACAAAAAAATGGAATAATTTCACGTACATTTTCCGGTTCATGTATCCCGGGTGGGCGAAACCTGAGCCGACGCAGGTGAAATGAATGGTCGGAGTAAAAAAAAAAAAATAATAATACGGATAAGAAGAAAACGCGGTGTGCACGCGCCTAAATTCACTTTCATTCAAATGTGAGAAAGAGGAAGGAAATGTGAAAGTTTCTTTTGAGAACAAAAATGAGCCAGAATATCAAAGAGAAAGTTGGTGTCTTTTAAACGAGACAAAATACAAATATAAAATGGAATTTTGCGAAATTTTGTAGAAATATTTGAAATTAAATTTATTTTCACGTTAGGCAACACCGAGCGACAGGTGTGTCACTCAGGTTGCATAACTTTTGACTTTTGGTGTGGAATCCAATCCAAATCACAGCCAACCATTTTAATTTGTGTGATAAATTTAAACAATAATAAAGCTTTGCTGAATATTTTACTTTCATTTAGATAATATTAATTTCCAAGCATAACGCGGTACAAAAATGCAAATTTCCCAGAAAAATTACTTGATTTGTCTTGAAATTTGGAGTAAATTATAATCTGATTGTGGCAATAAAGCTAAATTAATATCAGAGATTGTGAACAATAGCAAATTAATCATTATATTTAAGCTAAATTGATCATCAAATTTTCCCAAAGAAAAATAGCTATCTAACAACAATCTATATTTTTAATTTATATAATTAATTAACAGGTTTTTTTAAAAGGATATTTTTTTATTTTCTTTTCAAAATGTTAACTATTTTGTTTTAAAATTAAATAAATTCTCATAATTTGTGACGTTTCTGCAAATAATATTTCAATTTTGAAAATTCGGTTGAAGGCAAAAAATAAATTTTACCAGTACATTTTTCCTTAACTCTTTTTTTTCTTCTTTTTGAAGTTGTTCTGCAGTATTAAACCAACCCGGCTAGAAGTTGAACTTTCAATGATAATGTCAAGAATCTTGAGAGAAATTTCTGCGCCCGGAATCGATTTAGCTGCTCGGTTGCCGAACTAGGGAGAACAAATGGCACGCAGCTGCTAATTGAAATCGCAGAGAGCGGCCGGATTTCGCAGCCCATTATTATTTGCTCACGTCTCCGGCTTTGCTTTTCTCTCATTCGACTCGGAAATGGTGTTTGCCAAGAGAGAGAGCGAGCTAGCCCGCTGCGTGGAGGAGTAATTCGATCATTACGTAGCAAGTAGTTGCTGCTGAAAAGGCCTCTGCCAGAAGAGAACAACAGTTTCCGGCCACGTGGCCGCCGCTTTGTCTTTTTGTCGTCCGCGTGCGCTTGTGTGTGTATTTATACGCGCGCACGCCGACACAAAATACGTATATGAAAGGAAAAAAATCATTTATCCGCGCAGCTTGTTGCTCTGCTGTCAAATTTGAATGAAAATAGTAGGCGGATCTGGAGGAAAGGGAAATCGCCGCTTTTCTTCAGCCACACGTTCACTTTCCTTACAACCGCCAACAATGCGCGCGTACTTCAGCACCTGGCCCAAAACGAAATAACTAGAGCAGCTTGAATGAAAAGGGCAGTTGCGGAGAAAAAGATCAAGAAATGTATAATTGCCGGTCTCGCGAGAAGTCCTAAAAAGCGTTAAAAGCTAAAACCGGTTATATTAAAATAAGATTTAAAAGTTTTTATTTTTTATTGTAAAAGTATTGATTGTATTTGCGCCTCTGAATCTATTTTGAGCAATTTTGAGGGTCAAAAGATACCTCAAAGTTTTTATAAATAAAATTAAATTGAAGACTCTGAAGAGGTTCAATTTAATTTTAATAAATTAACAAACTTTTTTAATTCAATTTTATCACTTTCCTTAGAAAGCTTTTAATTAATTTAAAAAATTAAAATTAAATACTAAATTAATATTCAAGTAATAAATTTTATAGCCCCAATTCTTAGAGTTCAAGCTATAGTAGTATAAAATTTCTTTTTAAAATTAAAAATGGCTATTTTATTTATTAACAACCGGATTATTTTATTGAATACACTTTTTTGAGCCTCTCTTTGTCTCAAATTAATTTCAAGATAGAGTGATATTGTATCTAGTACCGGTCGCACTACCATTATGAATGGAGGCCAAATTGGACCACGATTAATTTTAAGTGAGCAGCGGCAGCCTGTGATCTCTGTGGGCTCGTCTCACTAGCGGCGGATCCAACAATGAAATAATGGGAGACGGACCTGATGAATTTAAGTGGCAGGATACACGGTGGCGGCCTTTTTTAGACGAGAGAGACGGTCTAGGGGACCAAATTAACCAATCACGCAGTGATATGGCCTCTGCGTGTTGAATGCGCGGGGATCAATTGATGTTAAATGGCAGCAGCGGATCACGAGGAGCTCTTTTGATATGCACCAAATTAATCACGTGATGTGATATTTGCCGACGGCAGACACCCGTTTAGCTATACCGGTTGGCAAAATCATTCCTTTCTCACACTGCTCAATTATACAAAAAAATAACAGAAATTCATGTATTATTTTCAAATTATAAAACAAAACCTTTTTTAAAAGAGAAGTGAATGGAAAAATTAACACACACAAGGGAAATAGTTCCTAAAACATAACTATAGCATTTTATATTTCATGAATTTAAATTTTTACTTAAATAAAAACAAAAGTCAAGAGTCAAGCAAATAGAAATAATCCAGTTTTAAGGCATTTTTACAGTAAAATTCTGAGAATTTTCAATTTTTTTGTTCCATTATGGACTCTAATTATTAAAAAAAGGGCTTAATCCCGGTTATTAAGGATAGGGATTATTTAAAAAAAGAAATCAAACCTAATTTAAAGCTGATATTTTCAATTTTAAAAAATTACCATTTCTTTAAAGAATAAATTTACAAATCAGGAGTAACATAATACGGATTCACGTGTTTGCGCTCAGAAAGCAAAACCGATCAAATATTCATGACGTGTAATTGGCCCTCGGTCGAAGCGGGCGACATATTTGCAGAGATCGCCGGTGACAGATGGTTGGCAGCTCTCTTTGCACCCTTATACTCTCTGGTACAAGCAACACACATTGCACTCACTCAATCGGATGCAAATGTCTGCGAGCGTGTCAACAAACACGACCACTTTTTCGCCCGCAGGCAAGACGAGTGGCATATGGCTGCGCTGAATGCAATCGGATCTTTTCGAGTGGCTCCGCAAACACCGCGTCTATTTTCTAATTAATTATTTACTCGCTGGCAGAGCGAACTGCGCAAATCCTTTAGCTCTTCGTTTATTTTTTATTCTTGTTTCGTGTTTTGCAACCTGGCGGGTATACACACGTCGATTTGTTATTTGTTTCTGTCGGAATGGAAATAACGGGCCTTTTACGTGCAGGCACTTTAATACCGGCGCTCTGTTTACTTAGTCTGATGGGTTTATATTGATACGGCTCCGAGCGTGGAGAGAGAGATTGCTATGAACACTTTTATCATGAATACATCGTACAACGGGGGGTGCGCGCAGGGATGCATAAAATATTTTATGAGGTTCGATAGGGCGTGCGGAAAAGCCACAAAGGGCGGCCGCAAGGGCACCCCGTTATATCAATACTTTTGCCCGCAAATATTTTTGATGCTGCACGATTTTTCATCTCGCTGATTGCTCAATACGGCGTGCTCTTGCATGATATGTGGGGAGTTTGCATGCACACTGCGCGCGGAAAGAGAAAAAGGAATCGGTTTTTCACTTGAGCGGTTCTTTGTTTTCATTCTCTGAATAAACAACAAAGACAGTCGATTAAAAAAATGAACAAAAAGATCGCGGTATTAAACAAAGTAAAAATTGTGGCTTTGGGGTTGCTATAATATAAATAAATAAAATAAATGAAATTTCTGTTTAAAATTAAAATTTATTAAAATATATTATATTTATTTCTTCTGACATTAATTAATTATTTTGTTTACTTTTAGTTTGCTAAGTTAATTCAACTTTCAAACTCCTCTCAAAATTTGCATCATTTTGTTGCAGGTTCCAATGCAACCTTTCGTGATGGCGGGCAGCGAGTCTCCGACGTCCGCCGCGACAACCTGGGAGCAATCGACAGCGTCCTCCGAGAATGTGTCTCCTTCAGTGAAAAACGGTGGCAGTTTGTTGAACTTCTCAATCGCCAAGATCATGGAGCCGGGCTCCTTTCAACCTGCAACCAACGCCAAGAAGCAGCGGACCCTGTCTCCACCCTCAAGCCCCACATTCGTAGGAAACTCGCCTCTGGACACGTCGGCCTTCAAAAAGTACGTTCCCCGCGCTGCCCAGCAATTACTAAATTGTCCAGCAGCTTTGCTTTATTACCATCCGGCTGCGGCGGCAGCAGCAGCGGCTAACGGGGCTCTCTTGGGGCGGCGGCACCAACTCGGAGGTCACTCGGCCTCTGACCTGTCGACCTTTGACCTACTCAGGCTGTACAACACCCCTCCCTCGGCTGCAGTGCCTGCACCTGGCTTGCCTCAGCAGACAGCGGCGCCGCCGGTAGCTAAGGAGGCGAAACTGACAAGCAAACGACCTTTGCACAAATCGGCCACCGGTGGCAGCACTAGCAGTGCGAGTGCGAACAACAACAATAACAAGCAAAAGAGTTTCACGTGCCCTGAGTGCGGAAAGGTGTTCAACGCGCACTACAACCTGACGAGACATATGCCTGTGCATACCGGTGCCAGACCCTTTGTGTGCAAAATCTGCGGCAAGGGTTTCAGGCAGGCCTCAACCCTGTGCCGACACAAAATTATCCACACCTCCGAGAAGCCGCACAAGTGCAACGTTTGCGGCAAGGCTTTCAACCGCAGCTCGACCCTGAACACGCACGCACGAATCCACGCAGGGTACAAACCCTTCGTGTGCGAGTACTGCGGCAAAGGGTTCCACCAGAAGGGCAACTACAAGAATCACAAGTTGACGCACAGCGGCGAAAAGGCATTCAAATGCAGCATCTGCAACAAGGCCTTCCACCAGATATACAACCTCACCTTCCACATGCACACGCACAACGACAAGAAGCCGTTCACCTGCAAGGTCTGCGGAAAGGGTTTCTGCCGCAACTTCGACCTGAAGAAGCACATGCGCAAGTTACATGACAGTTCACCCAATGCACACCGTCTGGCCCGCAGGTCACGAAGCCCTCAAGATCTGGTGGTCAGCTCTTCCTCCTCCCCGACCTCTTCTGCGGGTCGACTCTCCTCCCCAGGATATCACCACCACCCTGACGTGGCTCCCGGCTCGTCTAGCTCAGCAGCCGCTGCCTTCCTAGCGCCCTTTCTTCTTCCCCCACACCACCCCTCCATGGCCACCTCCGTCGTCGGACCCTACAAGGTGCCACTCTTATGACTCGAGGCCAACAACTACCTCGCGAGCAACAACAGACTGCAGATCACCTAAATGTGTGTGCGTCTGATTAGGTGAAGGATAGACAAAAAAAGAAACAGTTAGAACTGCCACCAATGATGTATGTGTTTTTTAACCTTAGCGAGTTTGATAATCAAAATTGCAAGGAAATTTCATGCAAATTCACTCTCAATGGTTATAAAACTGAATAATTTGTGAAAAAATTGACGAAATTTTAAATTAAATTGGGGCTATTCGTTAATAGATTTAAACCTATTAATTAAATCGCTAAGTTTTCTTTTAAAACAACTTTAATTTTCAGTACATGTTCCACGTTAGGGAAAATATTTCACATATAGCCCTTGAGAGTGAATACATTTTTCAGAAAGTTTTTAAAATATGTATAACGATCCTTATGCCCACGATAGATCTCACAAGTCATTTTAAATCCACAAAACCGCGTTCCTGTTGATGCTTTTCCCGAGGACGAATTGAGCGAGCGGAAAAGGGCCAAGCGTGCAATATGTAAAAAGGCGGCGAGAGCAGAGTATTGAATTTTTATGAGGCGCGCAATATGGATGTGCGCGGCTGACGCGTTGGTAGCCAATAGCTGCGGGTCGACGGGCCCAGGCAGGTCAAACGAGGGTGCTCCAATCATAACCAATTCGCGCCATCTTGCGCATTCTTCCTCCGGCAGTAGGAGAGATCAATGCTCCTCTCTCACCCGACTTTTCGCCCCTCCGACGTGATTCTGCCCGATTCTCATCGTAGCTTTTTACCATTTAATATACATGCATATATATTATATACTTCATGTGATAATATCGATTAGTGCGCAGCTGGGAAAGAGAGGGAGGCGCGTTTTTCATTTGCCATCCGCCTCAAAAAAGTCACACGAAAGACCAATTTTCTAATTGTTTTTTTGTGAAAGAAAAATATATGCATTCTTTTTGGTATAAGAAATTTAAAAGAGAACCACACATAAATCACCCTATGCGTGTGTGCTGTGCTAGAACTATAAAAATAGGCACTTTTGAAATTTTGAGGGACACTAGTGCAAAATTTGGAATTCGCGTAGATGATTTGTAAAAACTTAAGCATAAAAGAAAATTGTTTATCACCCTGTATGTTGTAAAAATAAATGTCTAGAGAGACCAGTCTTTTATTGAAATTATAAATTTTTTGCATTTTTTTCCTCATTCAGAATCAACATAATGATATGGTAATATGATTTTATGAAAACTATTAAAATTAAATATTTAAAAAGGTTGAAATGCTCTTTCAAATGGGGCGATTAGCCACTTCATTTTTTGACAAAAAAATTATTCATCCTTTTCATTCAATGCTGTATGATTGGAGAGTTTATTATGTGGATTAATTTCCATACAGAGTGATTTGGAATGCACGTCACTGTGGATCAGCCAGCTAATGGACCACTCGGATCTTCACACATGACCAACTAGGCGGAATCCATCGCAGTGAATGCACCCCAGCAATCCAGGCGGCGTGTTTCGCTTCAGTTCATTGCTTCCGAAATGGGATTACATTCATATCGTAGTAGGTTGTCGATGACGAAAGGGAGAATTATCAGACGGGTGCGACAAATAGCAATAAGGCTACTTATTTACTGTGCAAGCTGCCGCAATAAAGGTTTGGAAATTTCGCTGATATATTTATTTTTAGTCAATTTTTTGGCAAGGAAAATTTCATTAGTTAATCAAAAATTTACCAAGTTTAATTTTAAATAAAAAAAACTTTTCATGAAAGATATAATAAAGGCAAAATTGTTTTCTTTAACATTAAATTTTTAAATTAGAATTTAATATTTTTTAATAAATGTATTTTTATATTTAATTGAACTCTTTCCTTAAATTTAAAATTTTATTCTACAAAATTTAAAAGAACATAAAATTAAATTAATTTAGCTAAATTAAAAAATTTAATCACTCAATTTGAGATAATGATGCATTAAAAATTTACAACTATAACTGTTGAATTCATCTTTTTCTTTTCCTTTCATTTTTAAAAATAAAAAAAAATCGAAACTATCCAGTAAAATCTTCCAAATTAAATATAAAAAAGTATAAAAAATTGAGTCATTTCTTTACTGAGCCACTTTTCCCAACAGCATATCAGCCAATTCGCCATCACTAGCATTACAGGTCGCAATAAATCACAATCTTTTTCCTCTGTTACAATATTGAGAGAGACGAAATATTATTTGTCCGTTTTCATTTCACACGTGTGGGACGTTTTCAATCGCCGCAGCTCTCTCATTGATGTTTTGCAGGGGGTGCCTTGCTCTCTGCTCTTTCTATTTGCGGTGTTTACATACATGCTAGTGACAAGGGTGTTAGGGGCGGATAATCGGATTAGGTGTCGCACATATACGAATTCGACTCAATGAACGGACAGATTACACCCAGGCCGCAGCAGATCTATCTATGTGTCCAGAAAGAAAAGGAGAAACGGATTTTGACACGCCGCGCGCTTTTGTCGCCGATGCCAAACGCAACCAACAGATTTGATTTTGTCCAAACTGCGAGGCGATTTGCATGTTTAATTCGCTGCATATGACGCGTGTTTAAATGCTAATTTACAGACAGAGCCTTGTGGGAGAATCGCTTTATAAAGTAATTTTAAGCTTCAATGTTTTGCTCGCTGCAACAATTTTGAATAAATTTCATTTTAAACTGTATTAATTGTAAGTATAAGCTTTTGAGAAATTAGTTCAATTTTTTAGCCAAAAACAAATTTTAATATCTTTATTAGCCCAGCTGGATAGTTTATTTTATAGCGGTGAAAATATTCAATCGATACTTGCTGAGGAACTTTTTTATAAATTACTTAAACTCGCATGTATTTCTTTTTAATCTTTGAATTAAAATCAACATAAATGGTTTTTTTATGAATTGCAATTTCTTCGAGTTCTGTTAATCTGTTAAAGGTAAATAATTCAGGAAATTTTAGGTGCTGATGAGAATTAAGCCAAAAATAGTTGTAATTTGGATATAAAAAAAATTACATTTTCATCAATTAATTTAATTTTTGATTACAAAATTAGGTAATTCAATCCTTATTTAATTTTAACTTTATAAATATTTTAATATAATGCTTTGCAATGCTTCATTCAAATATGAAAATAAAATCAATAATTTTATCTCAAGAATTTGATACGGAAAAGTGTGCGGCGAGAGTGATTGCCAAAAAAGAGAGTTTGCTGGCGTGCTGATCTTTTATCACACGATTTTTTTTTTTTACCTCGTCCCTCTCCCTCTCTCTGCCGCGTGTCTGAAGCAGTTTGGAGAGAGAGCGCGCGGGCGAGTAATCACATCTGAAAATCTGAAATAAAAGGAGCCAGCAGCAGCAGCACTTTTTAATAGACTTGAAAGGTCTTTCTTTCTCTCGCTTATTCTTTCTTTCCTGCGCGCAGCGAGAGAGATAAAAAGACACCGAGAGTTTCAAGGGTGGTTTTATGAAGTCAGCAAATGTCTGAAGAGCACCGAGCAGCCCCTCTATCGCGCACCACCAGCTAGATTTTAAAGCGAGATACGTGTGCAAAATTAAAAAGAACTTTGCATTAAGCGGATTGCTCGGCGGCGGCGGCTGCCAGACGGCCTTCAATGCGGCCTAACTCGATTCACGGCGGTAATTAGGCAACCGGCACCAACACCGGATACCCGCAGGTTGCATAACTTCAGTTGTATTTTAATTTAAACTTAAAAAACGGACCCGTGCAAGGAAAATATTTATTATTTTCGATTGGGAAAATCGTGAAGATTTCAAGTATGTATTAATTTAAATTTTTTTTATTTATGTGGTTTTTATAATTTTTTTTTGTATCTAATTGAGATGAAATTTTCATTTAATACCAACATTATTTTCATCAATTCTTATTGATGTTTCAAATAGAAAATAGGGCATCATCACTGATTTTTATTTAATTAAATCCAAAAATTTAAAGCCTTTAATAAAATTTTGTGCTACCATTTATAAATTATTCTTCATAGAACACAACATTTTGGATAATAATTATTTAAAAATGTGTATCATTTATAAAAATTATGAATACCGTCAAGAAATTTATTCAATTTTATCAAAGCATAATTTACCAATTTTTTCAATAAATTTCCGCAACATACAAAAATCTTTCTCTTGTATTTTCATTGATTGTCCGAATCCTTTTAAACGTAAACCGAGCGATCTCTTTCTGTAGAGGACAAAATATTTCAGTAGTAAACGGCGTGTTTGTGCCATTCATTGCGAACAACCGGGGACAAATTCCACTTCAACTTCCCATGCCAGGAACACATATAATGATTTGTTTATGAAAACACCGGTAGCAAACTGCATTCCTCTCAAAAAATGCACTCTCAGGCCACTTCTCTGTTGAATCCGCGCCCTTGTATAATTTCCGATTCAATCGAGCGTGAATCGAGTCCAAGAGGTTTTCCTTGACAAAATTGAGGAGCATAATGGGATTAGTCGTGTAGTCGCGGGACAAAGCGCAAAATGCATCTCTTTTGCTGCGAGCCGCCTGCACACTTCGCTTCTCTCCGGTAATCCCCATTTGATCTCTCACTCGCACAATCGCAGTTAGTGACCAACGCGCGGACACGGCCCGGGAATCTCGCCGCTCACCTGCACCTGTTGTCGCAGCAGAACACACATGAAAAAAAGACCCAGCTGCAGCGTTCCACCCTCAAATGAATGAAAAATAAAGTTATAGAGCAAAAAGGGAAACCGCCAAATTATTTAGACTGAATTCTGATATTAAGTAAGTAATAAACACCTCTTGACTTAAATTGCCACTTTAATTATTTTTTTTTTTAAATTTAGAAAAACAAAATTACAAATATCATAATATTTGGGTTTGGAGAAAAGTAGAAAGTTTTTCTAGTTTGAAGGGGAAAAAGCACAAATACAAAAACACAATTGTTTTGTAAAAATTATTCAACTTGATATTTTTTATCACGCAAATTGAAAACATTATTGTCAAAATCTTGTACTCTTCTCAAAGTTCTTTGTAATAATTTAAACTGATTAAAACAACGGACAGTTTACTTGGCAAAATTTGGTAAAATGTAAATTAAAATATTTGCCATTTGTTGAACATGCATAAAAAAAATAAAATTTGTTTAAAAAAGAAATAACAATAATAATAATGCTCACTGCAGAGAAATATTTCAATTAAGATCAATTAAATAAATTAAATATTAAGAATAATAAAAAAAAACTTCCAAATTTTAAATCTTAACTACAGCAAATTTAAGAGGAATAATTTTTTACAGTGTTTAACAAGTAGATTAAAATTCAACAATAAAATTCTGATGAATTTGAATTGTAATTGGAATGAAAAAGAAGGAAAAAAATGGTGAGTTCCATCAATTTTAATTTAATTATTACTTTACTTCTTATTCTTCACTATTATCACACAAAATTTTAGATTAATTGCAACCGAAAAAAATTTTAAATTCTTTGAAAGAGATCCATGAGGATTTTTTCATTTACATTTAATTTTTTCCTCTCATTTTTTGTTGCAAAATTTGATGAATTGACAAAAGTAAAATGTTTTGGCTAAAAATTAATCTCTAGCAGAGCTGAAATAATGCAAGAGGATCACTTTAACAATATCTGCGTTTCACACGTGTGTCACTGAAGCAATAATGAATCTCATCGATTTGGTGCGTTCGGTCGGGGTTATGAAATTCCGCTCTAATTGGGAGCGACGCTCTCGGAGGTTGGTTCGCTTTTCGCTCTGGCAAACAACAACACACGTCAACAAAGGGTGCGAGATTATAATAAGCCGTAGCGAGAGAGTGAATGGGGCGTCGCACGGGGGCAATCATTCGGCATAATGCGAAGGTGTCGGAGCGGCAGAGCAGGCAGAGAGCATCACCATGACAACAGCCAGTCAGTGTGCGCCATGAATGTCTAAACAGACGCGCGCTAACGATCGAATTCACACCTGAATCGCGCCTTCGTTACACGCACGGCCAATTGTGCAATTAATCTCTGCACCTCTCGCAATAAGTGACGATGATTTGCGTCCGACCGGGGTGCTAATGAGCGGCCCCGATCTCTTTTGTCAAGCACGGCGCACATGTGCATCTCGCGCGGATTATTACTTTCCAAACACCTGTGCCAGCAGGAGGCGCTTCCACGCTTTATTTCCTATCCACATATTGAATTGGCTACTACATCTGACTTATTATATATATGTAAACTGATCCTCAAATTTAGTATATTGTAAATAAGAAAACATAAAAATCGGGATGAATTTTTGAGAAGAATTTTTCTTTTGATTATGGCAATTTTCGACTGCATGAATTTTAAGTCGTATTTTCCTTTGTTCTTGCTTCAACATCTCGCTAGAAAAGCGCAGGATATTATTTTTGGAAATAATAAACTATTGACCTTAGGAAAGAGGCAGATATATGTATAATTTAATTTTTAAAGGTTTAATGTTTTTAGCCTTTGCGAACACAATCAAGCGGTTAAAATCAAGTTTTAGCCATGGAAAATTTAATAAATTGGGTTTTTCTTAATTTCACTTTTCTTGCCTTCGCTACAAATTTGAGCGTGCGCGACCTGAATTTATCACTCGATTGTATGTTTTTAGCCTTTGTGAACACAATCAAGCGGTTAAAATCAAGTTTTAGCCATGGTAAATTTTGATTATTATCTTGATTTTAGAGCATATTATAACTTATATATTGGAGAATTTTGCAATATTGATCCATTCATTATTGTTAATTTTGTTGAATTAATTTGAAGTTCAGAAACATTTGTGACATTTAAGAAATAAAAACCATCAATGGAATATTTTAAAGTTTATTTTAAACGCTTTTACTTTTAATATATATAAAAGAATTTTATGCCATTTACGCTGAAACTTTTTATTTATTTTGTTGGCAAATTAACCTTTCCCTTTTTTATTTATAACCTTTACTATAACATAAAAAAAAAAATATTTAAAAATCATTTACAAGCATAACAATTATCGAAATTTCTATACATCTGGTTTGCTGTATTGAAAAGATGAAGATCATCGCACAGATTATTGGAATAAAAACAGAGTTTGAAAAACGTCTGTGTAAGACGGTGGAGTGTGCGTGAGTCACTCTCGCTTTTGATGCGCTTCGCACTTGACTTTTGGCGCGGCAAAAAATGTCAAAATTGAAGAAGAGCGCGTCTCTGTCAACAGCAATATAGTACTCTGTCAAAACTCAGAGTCACATGAACATGAAACGACATAAAAGTTGAAAAGCCGTAAACATTTTTCAATTTTTTATGCGATTTAAATTAAAATAACTGTTTTACAGTAAAATTGAAATTTTTCCAATTATTAAATTTTATTATTATTGAATAATGTTACATTTTGATTCAATAGTGGCGATAATATTCAAGGCAAACAAAATGAAATCGATAAAAAATAAATCAATTATTTATGGAGTGGATAAAAAATTCAATCTTTGTGGTTAATGTCTTGACAAGCTTATGGTTAACACTTTAAATACAAATAAAATATTTGTTGTACACAACATTTGAATTCATTAAAATTTAAAGAAGTTAGACTCGCACGCATGGTCTTAAGTTCAGTCCCCCACTGTCCTTTAGTGCACGATAGTATGCCTGATAAAAGGTAACGTGTAAAATTAAAAGAATTTTAAATAGCTACCACTAAAACAATGCAGTGGTCTGTAATGTGCAGCACCGGCGTTGCTCCTAAACCTTTTTTTTACTGTCACTAAAATTTTTTCACTTACCCTTTCATATATAACGCGTTTTAAAATGAATAAATTTTTGCTAATATTAATTATAATTTTCGCTTCATGCAGCTATTATGCCATTGAGGATTTCTATTATAAAAGTACTTTGGAAAAACCTCAGCAAACGTTGACCGTTGCCAGAGCAAAAAAGTATACTCAACTTAATTTGGATAAGAGAAACTTCAAAGGGAATTTATCTTTTGAATTGGTGAGTAATTTATTCTCAAAAGATCAATTTTCTTAGCTGTCTAAAAAATATTTAAAATATTTTGTAGGCTTTGCTGAATTGTAACATTTTTAAGACACTATTTTCTTCTACTGCAGGCGCAGAAAGTGAATCCTAATGTGCCGTATCTAGCGTGGGGACGCAGGAAACGGAAAACGATGTTCTACAGAATCTGCGCCCCCTACGTCTCTCCCCAAAACATCAAATTCGCCAACCTTTACTGGCAGGTACAGGAAATGACCGAATTCAACTCAACCTTCTACCTTTTCGGCGCCTACCTGGATGAACGCAAGTTGGCCCTGAAGGGCAAGAGGCCTGTTGTGCGAATTTTAACCCTGAGCACCACCTTTCTGAACTCATCTAGGTCAGCGTTCTGCCAGTTTTGGTACAGTGGTGCAAACCAAGCAGCCCATTCAAAGGTCACGTCGTTTAACTACGCGTGGAAGGTCGAGTGGGGTGGCATGACACACGCTACTGTGTACCCTTACCTGGTCGCCTGCCCGATTCCACCTGGTTATGGGGATAAGGTGCCGGATTCTGTTTCCCTGGTCCAGCGAAAGTGCGACAAAGCCACAAATAACATCAGGGTCGTCTTCAACCCTTTGCCAAAGGATGAGAAGAAGAAGGATTTCGCTGTTTGCGTAAAAGGGATGTACCTAAGCAACAACCCTGCTGCCGCCCTTAGGCTGGCCGAGTGGACAGAATTGGTCAAAATTCTTGGCGCCCAAAAATTTACTTTTTATCAGTACTCTGTACACAAAAATCATGAAAAATTTTTACATTCAGCTCAGAATAATTTTTTTTAGGTCCACAATAACATCTCTAGTGTGCTGGAGTACTACCAGACGGTAGATAATGTCGAGGTGATTCCCATTACGATGCCAGGTTACTTCACCAACAACCCCTATGAGTTGAACGAGTTTATAAAAAAACAAGTTATTCTTCGACGAGGAATGGATGCGATTATGCACAACGACTGCTTGTACCGTAATCTGTACCTTTACAACTATGTCAGCATATTTGACATTGACGAAGTTAGTAGAATAGAAATATGAAAATTTCAAAGCATCAATGATTTAAAAACTAAAATTATGTAATTTAGTGTTTTAGGGCTTCATTGTTGTTAAAAAAGTTGCCAATTATTTATTGAAACGTTTTACAAAACATTTTTTCCAAATTCTAAGCTTATAGAGAAAAATTTATATGTATCAAAATGTTTTAATTTTTAAAGGCTAAAAAAATTTCATATCAAACTTTTAATTTTGTATGAGTGAATATATGCAGCCATTGAACCCATTACAAAAGTGTTGACGTTCCAATTAATTGGTCTAATTTCGTTTCAGATAATTTTGCCACTGAGCGTTGAATCGTGGGGCGACCTGATATACCAGAAAGGTATACCTCAGGCGAGAGCTGATAACAAACGCAAGGTGGCTGCTTTCCTGGCACGCAACGTCCTTTTCATGGACGGCAGACCTGAACCTGCGATAGACATACCTGCCCATATGCACATGCTGAGCCACGTGCGGCGAAATTTGCAGCACGACGGCGACAATATGACGGGCTTAATTACTTTCAAGACTTTCCAAAGCACCGAAAGGGTGCTGTCGGCGCAAACGCACCACCCCATCGAGTGTCTCGGAGGCGTCGAGTGCGAAATTTTCACCTTCAACCTAGAAGACGCTCATTTGCAGCAGTACTGCATCGGTATAATAAAGAGAGCGTGCAGAACGAATGACACGTACTTGACCCTGGACACTTCCATCTGGAGGTTCAAGGACAGACTAATTACTGCATCCGAACGCGTACTCAGGGAAACGAGAATACTCAATTAGAACAAACATAAAATATCCTTTTCCTCAAAAAATGAAAATTAATTCAATAAAAATTTAATTACATTTCATTTAAAAGTGCAATTTTTAAAAAATTTTAAATTATCTTTTATTACCATCCATAATAATCGCTGCATCCAGTTTTTTTTTTTTTAATTAAATGAATAAAATTCTTTGTTGAATTATAACTATAAATGTTAGAAGTAAAGTTGTCTCCACTCCAAGGTTTTCATGTTAATATTTATTTTAATTTGACACCGTCAACGTATTTATTACAATACTTTTTCAATTGTATTATTATTTTTGTTGTTGTGGTTTATCTACTTGTCCAAATTAGTTACAAAAATTTCACATTGAAAGAAAAATCATTGTTGCTAAGGAAACACCAAATTGCTGGACAAAAGGGCACCTCATCTATAGCAAATATTTTGCTAAAATTTTCCGCCAATATAAAAAAAACCCATCCTTTGGATGAGCTTCGTTTTTCATGTACTGTTTTTTATTTTTGACTTTAATTTAAATGAGAAAATATGACTTTTTCAATAAAACTTTTATTTAAAAAAATACTATTAAATGAAATGAAAGAATAAGTATCATAACTGAAGCCACGAGCATTGTAACTTTTGGTTTCAAATTTTGAATGGCACGCATATTATATTTGAAGAAATATTTACACTGTTTTGCTGTTAAAATTAACATTCACACCACCACTGTCCCTGTCCTTATTTACTGCGCGATAGCGTGAGGTGATAAAAGGTAAGGAATAACGGAAAAATGAACAAAATTTTGTTAGCTTCCACAGAAACATAGAAGCTTTCTCCCCGTTTTGTGCAACACCGGCGTCACTCCCACATTATAATTTTTAATACTTAAATATTTTTGAAAATGGTTACTTCTTATCGTAAAATGATCAAATCCGTTCAGATACTGACTGTAATTTGCGTCACATTATATTTCTTCAGTCTTAGCTTGTATTATAAAAGTGGTTTAGAAAACTGTGAAAAAAATTTGAATGCAGCCAGTATAAATAATTCTACTCAAGTAAATCTGGACGATAGAAACTTCAGTGAGAAATTATCTTTGGAATTAGTGAGTTAATAATTCTCAAAATATTTTCTTTTATCGCTTAAAATATTTAAATTAATGGCATTAGAAAAAAATCTTCTAATCTGTCTTATTACAGGCGCAGACTGTGAATCCTAATGTGCCCTTTGTAGCATGGGGACAAATGAAAGGGAAACTTAAGTCCTACAACAGAAGCTGCGCCCCATACGTTTCTCCCCTAAATGTAAAATTTGCCAACCTTTACTGGCAGGTTCAGCAAATGCCCACATTTAACTCGACCTTCTACCTTTTTGGTGCCTACCTGGATGAACGCAAGTTGGCCCTGAAGGACACGAGGCCTGTTGTACGAATTTTAACCCTGAGCACCACCTTTCTGAACTCATCAAGGTCAGCGTTCTGCCAGTTTTGGTACAGTAGTGGAAACGAACCAGCCATGTCAAAGGTCACGTCGTTCAATTACGCGTGGAAGGTCGAATGGGGTGGCATGGCCACTGCCCCAGTGTACCCTTACCTGGTCACCTGTCCGATTCCACCTGAATATGGGGATAAGGTGCCGGATTCTGTTTCCCTGGTCCAACGAAAGTGCGACAAAGCCACAAATAACATCAGGGTGGTCTTCAACCCTTTGCCAAAGGACGAGAAGAAAAAGGATTTTGCTGTTTGCGTAAAAGGACTGTACCTGAGCAACAACCCTGCAGCCGCCCTTAGGCTGGCCGAGTGGACAGAATTGGTCAAAATTCTCGGTGCCCAAAAAATAATATTTTTTCAGTACAACGTATAAAAAAATGATAAAAAAAATGACTGCATTTAGACCTGAATGGATACTTTCAGGCCCACAGTAACGTCGCCAGGGTGCTGGATCACTACCAGAGAGTAGACAATGTCGAGGTGATTCCCATAACAATGCCAGGTTACTTCACCAACAACCCCTACGTGATGAATGCATTTATGAAAAACCAAGTAATTCTTCGACGGGTGATGGAGGCAATTGTGTACAACGACTGCTTTTACCAGAATATGTACCTTTACAATTATGTCATCATATTCGACATCGACGAAGTTGGTATAATTTGAAATTTAGTATAATTTGACAATTCCAAAGAATCAGTAACTTCATTAAAAATTAAAATAATCCAGTTTTCCAGGGTTTATTTCCATTTATAAAATATAAAAAATTTCAAACAAACTGCATATTTTCAAATATTCATTATAATTAAACATGAGAAAAGTTTTGAAACGTTTGCTCAAATTTATTTATTTATTTTTTTTTATCTTTTCAGATAATTTTGCCCCTAAGCGTTGACTCGTGGGCTGACCTGATATACCAGAAGGGTATTCCCCAGGCAAGAGCTGAAGGCAAACGCGAGGTGGCTGCTTTCCTGGCACGCAACGTCTTTTTCATGGACGACAAACCTGAACCTGCGACAGACATCCCTGCCCATATGCATATGCTGAGCCACGTGCGGCGAAATTCGCAGCACGACGGCCACAACATGACCGGAAACATTTCTTTCAAGACGTTCCAAAGCACCGAAAGGGTGCTGTCGGCGCACACGCACTACCCCATCGAGTGTCTCGGTGGGGTCGCGTGCGAAATTTTCACCTTCAACCTGGAAGACGCTCATTTGCAGCAATACTGCATCGGTAAAAAATTAAAAAGAGCGTGCAATACGACTGATACCTTTTTGACAATGGACACTTCCATCTGGAGATTTAAGGATCGATTAATTAGTGCAACCGAGGACGTGCTCAGGGAAACGAGAATTCTCAATTAGAAGAGGAATTAAATGAGCTTTTACCACTCTAAATGGGATAAAATTTAAATTGATTTTTTCAAATTTTAAATAATGTCTGAACTACTATTATATAATTTTATATAATGTATCTTTCTTTTCACTTTCTTCATAACAAGTGCGTTAAATGTGAAATGATTTAAAAGCAAAATTATAATCATAAGTTGATGGAAGTTGTTGCTGAATCTTTTTTTAAATTATTTATTGTTTATTTGTCCACATTGTTGAAAATACATAAATATATTGTTTGCATTCAATTGTTAAAAACAATTTATTTGAAAAAAGGAATTGCTGGACAAAACTGCATCAACACAAGCAAGAATTTTGCTAAAACTTCCGAGATCAAAAAGAGCGCATACGCCGCAGTGAGCCTCGGTTGACTTGGTTTTTTTAATTTAATTATAATTAAATTTGAAATTTAAAAAAAAAATCTGATATGTGTGTGGAAAATCCCAAATTTAGAAGTTATACATAAATTTTCATTTTGAAGCTGTTCTGCAAAATAAAAATATTTTTATCTAAAACCTACATCTCTCTTTTGAATTTTTGGTAATTTATTTATTTATTAAAGATAATTATTATGCATTGTTACTTTCCAAAGCTTTTCATTTAAAAATGTTAAATGGCTCGCATATTTTGTTTGTCTAAAAATTTCATTGTGTAGAAAAATAGAAACCAGTTTTTGCTGCGCTGAGCCTTTTGCTCGCCGAGCACAAAAAGCTCTCGAGAGCTGCTGCTGGTCTTTTTCTCTCTCTTTCGGATTCAACAAAACGATTGTACATTTATGATGCGGGAAACACATAATGTACACGAGACGAACGCACAAATAATACATATAATATCCTCATTATTTACCCCGGGCGAGCAGCGTGAGCACTTTTTTAGCGTGCACCTTTTCTTTTTTCACTTGTGTGCAGCGAGATAATAACGTAATATTGAATCGGCAGCGGCAGGAGGGATCAAAACTTTTCATTCGCGCGGGGTCGCGCCGCGCGGACCAAATGTGCATCAATGCGTGCTGCAAAATTGCACATGCATGGCTGGCGTCGATCAATGCAGCCCGAATTAGACAGATTTAAGATGTTGCCTGCGAACTTGGCTCAACAGAAAAAGAAGAACCGTGGGCGCTCTTCAACGTCAGAAAACATCGCGGTGACGCTCGGTTTGTGGAAATTAATTCAAGAAAAGTAATTTTTATTTAAAATCAATTGGGCTGTGTTAACAAATGAATTAATACTAATTTTTATAAATTTTTGCCATCTTTAAATTTTTAAGAATAAAATTCAATATAATTTGAAAATTAAAATCAATTTTATTTCAGTTTCATATTTTTTCAACCAAAACTTATCATCTTTGGTGCTGTTCCACCAAATAAATATATTTTTGTTTTTTTTTTATCATTTTCTTTATAAAAAAAGAAAAAATGCAGAAATTATTGTTTATTTAATATTGTCACATTTTCAGAGTTCATTTCTGCCAAAAGAAAATGATTACACTACCTTCTTTCAATGTCTTTAAGAGTCTTCAAAGAATGTTAAATATTGTTTTTTTTTTACTTGTAACAATAATAGGCAAGCAAAAAATCTAGTGTTAGGACTTATATGAAGATTTTTTTGGCTAATTCCAATATTTTCACTCAATGCATCCAATTTCTATACAGAACCTATCAAATTGAGATCAATTTTTAAATTTCTATTCTACCCAAATCCACAAAATTAGTATCACTCAATCAGAATTGACAGTTTAAAATTTTTTTCATCAGAAGTTAAATCAATCTACGCCGGATAAAATTAATTTCCACGACCGTTTCTTTTTTAACTGATGAATTGACACAGGCGTTTCACCCGCCGGCAGCCAAGCAACCAACCGATGGTCTGCTTCGGCAGAGCTGCTGCAGATCATAATGAGCATGAAAAGCCCCCTGTGTAAATGCTCCGCACTTATCCTTCCGTCTAAAGGGCCTCGGGCTCCTTTCCTACATAAATCGCGCGCGCATCGGAGCGGCGAAAACCCCGCCGGGCAACCGTGAATTGTGCACACACACTGCAGATGCTCCCGAGTGTGCCAAAGGTCTTTTATGTAATATACTGCGATCACATAATTATACTCGTTAAATAATAAATATACTGGCCAAAAATATAAAGTTTTTAAATATAATTAGAAATAAAAATTGAGGGGACAAAATGCATTTTTACCAGTTTTTTCAATAAGAGTTTATACAACTATTCTTAATTAAGATGGAGTGAAATTATGTATACATAGCTTGGAACTGGGGTGGCATTCGCAGTCCCAGAGTTCATGGCCGAGGAAAAAATCATGTTTTACAAGAAAACAATAATTCGTAATTATATCACCAAGAAAAACTTGTATCAATCAAAAGATCCTTGGTATCTATTTGAGGCTCTCTGGCGAAGAAGCTAAATTTGTAAATTCCATTGCAGAAGGAGGAACGAAATCGTAAATCGTGTAAAAAAAAATAGTAAATTACCTGAAACGGTGATCAAAGAGTGTCCAGCTTCCGCTCGTCGCCGCATCAGGACTGGTCAGGACTAAATATCAGTGATTTCACTAAGGTCTTTTTCGGCAAATAAATAAACACTCATTTTGAGGCTGATTTTGCTGGAGCTGACATTTATCACATAACCTGACACTTTGTAAGCAAAAAGTACTGATTTGACTACGCCCCCTAATTTGTAATTTTCCCTTTTCCCTCCGTTTGTCGCGTCAAAAAGGGCGCGATTTGCGTTCTTATACAACATAAAGTCTGCTGCTAAATACATAAAGACAAGTAACTTCTGCTGAAAACTTTTGAACTCCCGTCGCCTGACCAAACGATTTTGGCGGTTATGATGATTTCTATCCAATTTGCAGATCGTTTAATACATAACTGTTAGGAAATTCTCTGCGCCCTTTGCACTTTTGCAGGCCACTTGGCAACAGCGCCTTGCGGATCAGAGCAGCAGCAGCATTGCAATTTGCAGAAATCTGAGGCATTTGAGCGCACCATGACACGCACAGGCATGGACAGGCCGAACATTCGTTCTTGATTCGTTCGTCGTAGAGTATTGAGCAAGTGTGTGTGTGTATGGAATGTACATAGTACAAACTACCTGGTAAAGAACCAAACTATTTTAATACGCACTACGCAGGCAGAACTGGCAGAAGTCAGAAGTAACGATCGAGATACTTCTTTTGGCACTCGGCGTTGCAAAGCAAGCTGAGCCTGTACATTGTGGACGTGGAATGTGGATCTCATCAGATTTACATATGTACTTAAAATCCCAAGTCGCAATACATAATACATAAATTTACGAGTATTTTTATGTAGTTTATAATAACATAACATTTATAAAGGCTGGGCGCTCACTCATTCTAGCCATTCTTGCGTTCATTGCAGACGCATTCAGTCGCAACTCACAGCACCGAAATTTTTTCTTTGTAGATCTATAATACCTTCATCCAAACAAACTCCATAACCTCTTAGCCATGGACATGGAAACCAATAATATGAGGTAAATTTTGCAATCAAGTTTCCTAAATTTTAACCTAAAAATAAAGCGATCTTAATGCACATGTACATATCTTTTGTATGTAAAACGTGTATATCGATGAATGTATTTATACATAATCGCTCTGTTATGTTTGCAAATTGAAAAGACTAAAATGAATTTTATCGAATGTTATATTATTCTTGCTGTTTATTCTTCACATATCACGTGTAATTATTTTAATTTGTTGCAGGTCATTGATTCATGAAGCAATTCATGCAGAACACTTGAAGGAAGTATACAAGAGTGCAGCGCTTAATCAAGCAATCCCTGCACTTTTTCATGATCCTGAAGAGTTGCAAGAGATGGGCAACAAGCTGTATGAAGCTGGGGACTACCTGTACGCAATTTCTGCGTACACCAAGAGCTTGGCCCGAGCACCACCTGGCAGTGAACTGCGCGGCCTGGCCTACGCCAACAGGAGCGCTGCCCTGCTCGCCTTGGGCTACTATGAAGAGTGCATCAGCGATGCCAAAATCGCCCTGGAGAACAACTACCCTGAGAATTTGGCTCAGAAGGTGCATAGCAGGATTGCTTTCTGCAAGAAGGCCCTAGGAAAAGAAGCTACGGAGGACGTGGACTCGGAGGCCTCAGAGAAACCCGCAGGTAGAAATAATTATGACAAAAAAATGCAGCACATTTACATTTTGCAAATAAATTTCTAGACAAGGTCAAGCCAAAGGTGCAGAAAGTCGGCGTTGAGTACGCAAAACTTCCAGAGCTGCTCTGTGGTCCTCATCCAAACGACCCAATGATTTCTGCAGCACTGACTATGAACGGCAACTCTCTGTTTGCCAATAAAAGGATCAACGTTGGTAAGATAAAGTGTTTTATTTTAGTATGCTAAATTTTAGATCACTATAAAAAGCAAAATTTTTTACTTGCACCATTATGATTTATATTATTGTAGGAGACGTTCTGATGGTTGAGCCACCTTTGATTTTTGAACCATCTTCAAAGGAAAGTAGGGGTCAGCCTCCATGGACTTACTGCAGCGAATGCCTGAAGTTCTGCTGCAATTTGAAGCCTTGCTCAACTTGCTCTTGGGTAGGATATAGTTAAATATTTTATTAATCAGTGTAATTTTTTAAATGTAAAATAAATAAACAGGAATTAAGGTTTTTTATATATAATTTTAAATGTATAGAAATATTATCAAAATAAGGCATTTTATTAATCATTATAATTTTTTTACTAGGCTTGCTACTGCAGTGAGGAATGTGCATCTGTGGCCTGGAATAGTTACCACAAAAACGAGTGCTCTCCCAAGAATAATGTGGTAGAAAGTTTCATCCAAGATGACTTGGCTACCGATTGTGCTGGCAAAATTTTGAACGCCAATGTTTTGTTCAAAATCATCTCTACTTTTGGCCTGGAGAAGTGCATCAAAGCCTTAAATCCAGCTGGAGGAATCACTGACGAAACACCCGACGAGATGCAAATGTTCCTAAAACTGGCTACTTACGACGGTTCAGCATTTGGAGAATGTGCTGAGGTTCAGGCTGTAATCAAGATTGTAGCCGAGAGCTTTTGTGGTCTCAGTGTAGGTAAGAAGAGGGCACTGAAGAAGTTTTTGACCAGGGCAATCACCGTCTTTCGAGACAACCAGCGCTGCTATGACGAGTTGCGTCTCTTTGAGACTAAAGATGGCTTTTGCGTTAATGATTGGTTCATTGGTTCCACTGCAGTTGGAATTTTTCCCAGAATCGCTTCATTGAAGCCAAGCTGTGACCCTAATATCAACTACAGCCAATACCAAAAGGTTTTTGTGGTTCAGGCTGCAAGACCGATTCAAGCAGGGGAAGAAATTACCATTCATAAAGGCGTTAGTTTCCGGTATCACCCACTTCAAACCAGACGAGCTCTTCAAGCATATTCTCAAGGCAGGACATTTTTCTGCAACTGTCAAGCATGCGTTGAAAACTGGGTTCTACTCAAAGACCAGGTTGATTGCCACATGTTCGTTGAAGAAATTCCTGCCTATGAAAAACTGAAGAGTGAGTTTCAGTGTAAAGTACTGGACGTGGTCCAGCAGCCTCTTGTTCCACTGTCAGTCTTCACTCCTGAAAATCTTGCGCTCTGTACCCAGATCATTGATTTGTATGGAAACAATAGAAGGGATGACAAGCAGTGTGCTGGAATTGAAAAATTTGTGAGGGTGTATTTTGAAGCCATTAGTAGAAATTTCTCGTTTGGAGAAAGCTCGTCTCTGAATCAGCACCACTACATCCCTCATAAAATATTATCTGATGAGCCAACACAGTAGGGTTGGACAAGTAGTGCTAGTTTGTAAGTATGATAAGTGTATTGCATTCAATATTTAAAGAATATTTTTATGACTTCAGGTAAAAATGTGTGTTAGAAATCTTATAAATGATAATATTAGTGTCGTGGATTTTCAACATTCTTGTAACCTGTATACTTGTTGAATTCCAATTTGTGGTTTTTATCAATAAAATGAACTTACGAGTTAACAACAGCTAGGTTTAGATTTTTTCCTGACATTAAGAGAAAATAATTTGTCCTGATATAGCACTTTCTTATAAAGCATAGCCGACAACAATTTGCATTTTTTACCTTAAAAATAATGGATTGCAAAAAAATGGGTGCTAATTAATGCGTTAATCAAATAATTATGCTTTCATATCATAATAATCTAAAATAAATAGTATTTTATGTCATTAATGGAGAATGTGTAAATAAGAGGCTTTCTAAAATATGTCCTATATCTATACCTTATCTAACCTTATGAATATTATAAAAAAGACCAACGTGTCACGGATAATTTGTTGTTTGATTTAACCTATTGCAAACTAAATTTAATATAAGCATAATAAATTTATTTGCGCAAAGGAAGCAAGACTTGAGAATCATTGATGCAGGTGGCATCCTGGCATGCACAAACACTTCATTCATGCAATAATTTTCTACATATATTATAATGATTGTCCCCCAACAAAATGTTTTCAAATTATTATTAAATTTTTTACTTCACATTAATTAATCATTTATTGTTCTTGTCTGTCAAGAACAACTAAATAAAATCGGTGAGTCTAGAGGAATCTAATTTATATTGAGAAACAAAATATCAGGATGTGTACAACCAGCTGTCACAGAGCAAATCAAAATTTAATTTATTCCACAAAACATTCCAATCTATCGCCCACGTAGCCAATACGTAAAACATCGCATGATACGATACAATATTATTAACATAAAAATTATAATATGTTAAATAAATATATGCCGGGCTCAGAAAAAATACCGTCAAAGTTAAGTGCCTAAACGTTAATGTTGGCGGAAAACGTGGAATGATAAGAATTTCTCAGGGGGCCGGGGTATATTACTCAAATAATCTTCCTTAATTATATCACTATCACTTTTTTTTTGTCGCTTCGACAGGAAGTTATAGCTTGGTGGCAGTCGCAGAGTTCATGATTGCGGAAAAAGTCATGTTTTACAGTAAACCAAATTCGTGGTTATTCCTCATTTTAATTACTTTGCTGTCTTTTCTCGCCTGCAAAAAAATGTACAAAAAATTTGAGCCAAAGGAGGAGCTTCAAAATTCAGGTATAAGATCGATTCCGATTACAACCTATTAAATGTGTTTAATTATTAGTTTATTTTTATATATAGTAACATTGGAAAATGCGGTGGAAATTACAGTCCGTCATAAACAACTTAAGACGTCAATAGAAACGAAAGATGTTAAAACTCCAACAATCAGTGAAAGGATGAAAGAGATTTTAAGGAAGGAGAAAGTGCTGAACGAAACGGCCAAAACAATGCAAGGTCTGGACCAGAACGACGCTAAATTGATCCAATACACCAGAGACACGATTCTCATCCCACCGGAAACCGCCTCCAAAAATGATTCTACTACTGGTCCATTGATTTTCGAAGAGAAGGATGATCCATCTGTGGAACATGTCGCGTTAAAAGTTATAAACTTGCTCAAACAAAGGGTATAATAATATAATAACAAAAAACCAGGCCTAAAATTATTTTAAAATTGTGATTAAAGAAAAATGGATTTATCGTGGAGTGCGGTGTTTGGAACGGTATGGCGCAGTCCAATTCGGTAGTATTGGAGAATTTCCACAATTGGACTTCCTTATTAATTGAGGCAGCCCCGACTAGCCTGAAAACAATAAAGACGATGCGTAAAAGGGCTTGGATTGCGCCTGCTTGCTTGAGTACAAAACCGTACTCGAATATGGTTTAAAACTTAAAATTTATTGATTGATTAATAGTCAATTATTAAAATCAATAGGTGAAATTTCTTGACCAAAGTGCGACGGGACAGATTGTTGGGCCATCAACCAACATAACGGATAAATCCATTGTCAATGACGTTCTCTGCATTCCCTTCATGACGTTCATGCAGGCTTTGAACAAAACGTTTGTTGATTATTTCAGCCTGGATGTTGAGGGCAATGAAATGGAAATTCTGCCTCTGATAGATTTTGAAAAGATTAAAATAGACGTAATTCAGATTAACATTAATTTCTAAATTATAACAATTTCAATTTGAACGGATTTGCAGGTGATGACGATAGAGCACCAGTTTCACCACGGAAAATTGGGGGAGATGATTGAAATAATGGCCAGAAACAACTTTACTCTTCATTCGGTTACATCGATTGATTTAATATTTGTTAACAACCGTCTGAAAATTTAACATGAAAATGAACGGAACCTGTAACAGTCGTATCAATAATTTACCTTAATTAATTTTCATAGAAAAATTGTGAGTATACATTATTTTTCCGCCTTTTTTAATTTGGTCCTTGACAATATAACAGATTTTCAATTTTACGATTTATTAAATTGTCAGTTGTTTTATTATTTGAGCAAGAACACCCCCCCCAGACACCACATAAATTAAACATAAGCACAAATATAATCAAATTGGGGTGCTTCCAATGTTCAAAGATCCAAATCGCCAACTCGCAAGTTTCATCGGAATAAAAGATGAAAAAATACATCATAAATTTTGCTGACCATCCAATAAAAAACTCGTATAGGAAGGCGGAATTTCACTCTCCACTTCACATGCAAAGGTGAATTACGGCGAGGCCAATATATAATAGACCCTGTTGCCGGCGCGCACACCCGTTCCTTTTTTATCCTCTTCGCTCTCGCAATATTTTAATAAAACTCTTCAACTGCTGCGCCAGCTTGAAAATATGAGAATATTTGTATATCTTTTCCTCTGCTTTGCAATATATCCAATTTGCGTCGGCTGCATCCGCGGTATTTCAACCCCTGGTTTATTTTCCACGTTATTACTTCCGCATCGCCGGACACTCGATGGCCCCGAATTTTATTTATTCATTATTTTCCATTCTCCTCTATGCCAAGTTTTGCAGGTGAAGTTTGAAGAGGAAAGAAAGTTAATTAGTTTGCAAACTGAGTGAGACTTATTGACGTCTGTATTCGAAAAACACACAAGCTTTACACATAACGCAACTTGCCCAGCACTCTACGTAACAAATATAATTTTTTGTAGAGTTCTATTTTAATTTACTTCCAGAGTTGTATTCAGCTCAAATTCTCCGCCACTATTTCAGATATAAAAAATTCTATGTATTTACAATGCGTGCTGAAATTTGGAAATCAAAATAACCTTGAAATATACCAAATATTTGCTCTTTTTTTCAAATCGAGATGTTTTTATTGTAATTAAACTGAAAACTGATAATTAAATATTTTTCTTTTGAATTTTTTTAGTTAAAAGCTGAAAGTGGTATTGCTTACATTACAATTAATTTTGTTATCAAAGGCATTGGTTTTTTCTTGCTCAGTTTGTAAGTTCCATGTAAAAATTTTAAATTTCTTTTGAAAACAAAAATTTTGTGAAAAAACTAGATTAAAAAAAAAATGCAAAATTTTCCCTTTCAACTTTTTTTTATTGATCTCGGCCGCTGCCTCATATATATATCCAATATATAATCAGCAAATCAACAAAAATCTCTTATTTTTCTACATCGAAACTTCCCCATCATCCATCATATTCATTTTCCGCCCACCTGATCTTCAGCAAACATTATTTGTGCCGTGTTATGTAAACAGAAGAAATTTTCCGCCGAAAAAATGAACTGCAAGACCGCAAGTTTTGAGCCGAGCGGCGCCTTTGAACTCTCGTCTCTGCTAATCAGTTTTGACCAGCTTAACCTTCTTCATTCAGACCCACAAATGCATGACGCGTCTTACATGAGCCTCTCTTTATTCCGCCCGGCTGTCCCAACAGTTTACAGGTGATGTCTAAATTCATTGTTGATGCGTTCGCCCCCAAGCAAAAATTGAATGAATGAATCTCCCTCTCCCTATAAAGTGAGCAAAAAACCTATTTGCCGCGAGCTCTAAATTTTCTTTTTCCTAGTTTCGTACACTTTAAAAAAATCCCACAAAATCAATTTATTAAGTTTATAAATTAAAACTAACTTTCATTTTCTTAAAATACTTGGTTGATTAATACAGAAAATTTTAATTTTATTAATAATAAAATTTTTTCTGACCGACGATAATTAAAAAATTTTAAACTTTATGAGTAACGAGATTTTTTTATATCCTTTTATAACAGAAAACAGAGGAAAGTTCTTTTCACATAATGTTTATTCGGAAAAATTTTTTTCCTCGAAAATAAAAAAATTATTCAATTTTTAATATCAAATTAATAATATTAATTTGCGGAAAGAATGAAAATTTAACCAAAAAATGTTCTACAAAAAATTAAAAATTTTGAATATTAATGCAATATTATTTGGAATAACAATTTTTGCGCCGCTGAAACAAATAATGAGGTTCTGTGAATCGGTTTCTTTTATTCTTTTCTTCCTCCTTTGGCCTCTTCAATTGTGAGGGACCGCGCGGGGATCAAAGTGCTGCTCAACCACCCTCGCAATTTCCCTTATACCGCCGCGAGCTGCCGTGAGGAAAAAATAAAAGTGTGTGTGTTTATACGCGTTTGCAGATAGGAGGGAGGGATCGCGCTGCTTTGAATAGAGACGCATGTTGTAATGATTGTTTGCTCAAAATAAGCGCGTTTGTTCACGCACTCTGCGCTCAGCCCCCATCGCTGTCGGTGCAAATTAATCACACAAGCTCGATCGCGCGCCCCGGACACAAAATATCGCACGCTATATATAGCTGTATGCCCCTGACAAATTGATGTCGACATTGATCCTTATCTTTAATTGTATGGCAATTTAAAATTTAAGTGTAAAAAGCATAAGAGAAAATTTGATTTACAGTACAAATTCGTTAAAAATGTTTTTCATTGTAAAATTTTAAAAGCGCAATCTTCATATCTCTAAATTTGTCAAAACACTGTATGAATTTAATTTTATTTGTAAAAGTTTAATTGAAAAACTTATCAAATTAATCACTGGTACTTAATAAAAAGGAAGTGTGAAATCAGAGCAAAAAAGATTACCAAAAACCCAAAAAGTGTATATGCAACTATTTTATTTTACTTAGATTTTTAATTAAAATTCCCCAAAGTTATATTAAAAAATGCAAAATTTTTATTCCTGTTTTTGTAGTTTCTTTTTTTAAGATTAAGGGAATTAAATTTATTTTATTTCTAGTCATAATTTTTTTTGACTAAAGTTCAACAATTTATTGATCTGGAAGATAATATTATTGATGTGATGACCTGTGTTTCGCAGTCAAAGTGAATAACCAATTTAAGACTCATTTCCACCATAGTTCTCCAAGTAGTAAAATCTGCCCTATTTTATTCAATTTTTCTCCTGCTACCTTCCTGCGCTGGAAATAATTCACATAAAAAAACGAAACTTTATAGAAATTTAAACTTAATTTAAAATTTATGTTTGTGATTTTTCTGAAGAAAAATGTTTGTGCAACGAAACCCTTCTATTTATAGCTTCTATAAATAAAATTTTCCGAAGTCTATTAAAAAAAATACTTTTTATTTTAATATAATGCATATATTAATGAATATTTAATATTTCTAGAACCTACATTCTCTTCTTTAAAGTATTCGGTTTTAAATTTAGTGTGAATTTTGTTCTTTGTTTGTTCTCTAATAATGATTTAAATATAAATTTATTTCCACCTTTCTAAACATTTCTGAAATACATATTATGAAATCTGCTATTTACAAAAGACTAAGATTTTCTGCCCTACGCGGCTCTCTTTTCTTTCCAATTTTTTATTGCGACAGAGTGTATTTTTTACCATACAAAAGAGCGTACGCGTGTGGGTAGCAATCAATACCCGGTGTGGATGTGCGAGCAGCTAGGGTGGATATTTTGCGACCCAGAAAGGCACCAAAGAAAAGAAAAAGAGGCGGTGCTTTTCGCGTGTGTAGAAAAGACCACGCATCCACCGCTGCTCAGCACACACCCCGTTTTTCAGCGCTGCACGTCGTCACTTTATAATGGCACCGGCGTGTCCTTTGTGCAGCTCTTATTATTTATTCACGCGTCCTTTGCGCCGCCGACGGCCTGCTCTGTTTGTTTATTGCCAGTTGGTTTTCCATTATTTGCTCTCGCCGCTCTCCACAGCACAGCGCGCGCCATCAAATGCCGGCCGCCGCCGTGTGCCCTTTGTGCAGGGCTGCCTGCGAACGGCCCCTGCCAGCCTGCAACCCGGCCGACTCGACTTCACGAAAAGTGGCACGCGCGCACCCAATGCTCTCGCTCGGTGCTCAACTCCACCGAAATTACAAAACTGCTTTTCCTTTTTGTTCAAACAACTTGAAATTTCGTTTCCAACCAAAATAATGTCAAATCGCTCAGTTTTTTTCCAGGATTTATTAAAGTTGGATAATCGTGGAGATTAAAACCTCTGGACAATAAATAAAAATTACATGTTACTGGAGAATAAGGCATTAGAGATTTTTGCAGAGACCAGCAATTCAAATATAAAAAAAATTAACATTTAAGCAATTTTGTCCCAGAATTAAAATTATGTTAAAACTCTTCGATTTGTATCTAATTCTACATTCATTGAAAAAATCAATCACTCTCTTGAGTAAAGTAAATAATTAATTCAACTCTTTAATTGAGTTGAAATATAGTAGGAAAATATAATTTAAAAACTAATTATTCCAAAGAAGGAAATATATCTCAACTTCTATTTTTTTCGTGGGTTTATAGATTAAATAAGAATTATCTTATCTCATGCTTAGTTTTTGCGGCAGATATATATTTTTATGGCAGTCAAAGATCAGCAACCTGGACAACGGAATATAAATAAACTGCAGGTTGCAGATCGGCCAGCATTAATAATTCAAAATTGGCTTCAAAGAGAGTAGTTTTTGCGCAAAATACATAGTTCAACACAATGCTCTGGCGGCCTGGAATGTATTCATGTATCTTGACTTTTCCGCCAATCTGCGATTAAGTTGGAAATTTTGAAAAAAAATATTGTAAGAAAGGGCAGGAAGGGAACTAGCAGATGTCTGGTAAAACGCCAGATATCAAAAGACTAGACTCGGCCTCCGCGGTAAACCCATAACTAACATTATTAGTGTCGCGATTTTTTTTGCAAAGTAGCTATTAAATACATGATGTCAGCGTAAGGCAAAATAAAAAAATTTAATCAATTAGAATTGCAAGCATATTTTTTGTTTTAAAATAATTTAGTGACTGATTGATGTAAAATTAGACAGTTAATGTCTTTATTGACATATAAGTTGCAGAAAATCAGGCAAAAGCTGTTTAATATTTTTGGTGTTTTTAAGCTTTATTCATTTCATTTATAATTTTACAGTGATCATCAACCTACAGATAAGAGATTTCTTTTCTTCTAATTTTGGGCAACTTTTCCTTTTATTTATCAATATGTGAATTGTGAATGTATCACTGAATCGTGCTATACTTGATTATTACTTCTTTATTTAAAAAAAATAATTAATCATAAAATATGTAAAAGTTGAATGTTTAATATTATTTTAAGGACCTCTAAGGATCAACAAATGAAACAAGAATGTATCTAGTACCCTTTGAAACCGGTAAACCTTCGTGGTAATGCGTCAACCTTCCAGGGTGCATCAAAATCCACCCTAGCCGAGTGTCTTGCACGGAGCAATTGTATCTGATAAAGCGGCAACCACCACCCTACGCAGAAAAAAAGAGTAGTTAAAAACTAAATTATCTGAACCAGACAAAAATGCATCTTACTTCGTAGTCAAGCTTAGCATTGTTGAGAGCCAAATTAATGGTGTAAGTGGCCGTGTCATGGTGAGGCCGCAGATAGGCTTGTTCGTCTGGTCGATACCGAACGATGAATTTGTGAGGGCAATGTGGAGTCTAAAAAAATATAATATTATTAAAAAATAAATTCAAAATTTATTCAATCCCTTACATCGACATATCCGGTGAAAACGCTGGAGACCAAGGGTAAAATGTACTCGTCTAGCATTAAGTCCCACATTTCTGCAAGTCCTATATATTCCATATGGATATCTTGCGTCGGAACAGGATCCTGAAGATAATAATAAGTAAATTTATTGTTATTTAAAATTAGAGCTCAATTTACGTTATAGGCTCCGGTGACCCATGAACCGTTAGCTTCTGCCTCCATAATCAATTCTTGGCAAAATCTCGGAGTGAATAAGGGGAACCAGTACACGTCTGGACAGGGCTGAGGAAGAAATTTATTTATATTAATGCGTAATGTGTAATAAAATTATTAGAAAAATACCTGATGCAAGATACGATCAGGTTCCAAATATTTGGCATAGTCTTCGTGCAAATACCGCCGCTCGAAATCCTCTCGATTTTCCAAAATTTGATAAAGCTCGTTGTTGATGTGGGAAATACCAAAGTTGTCCGCATTGACAAGGTGTCCATAGTCAACCATATTGTCCACAAACATAAATATGCCCTGGGGAAAAATTAATCAATTTAATTCATCAAATGAAATTGTTATTTTTTTCTCACCTGATCTCGCAAGGAGGAGGCAAAGGCTTGCTCGGGACTGAACTTCTTGCAGGAATAGTTGACCTCCGACTTTCGTAAAGTGCATCCACGCACCAAGTAGCAGGTGCTCACAAAGGGAACGTTCCAAACTCCTCTGGGGGGTGGTTTGGTTTATTTTATACTAGTTTTTTAAAGAAAAAAAAAATCACGTTTGTGCTAGCGTTCTAAGGAATTGCCACAACCTTTAAATAAATATTTACAAAATGTACAGAGACTGAAACAATAATTTGTGTTAAATTTTCATATTTATTTGGAGTTATGTATATTTTCCTACAAGAAAAATATTCGTTCATTATTCATAATATATTGAAAAAGTAAGTAAAAAAAGGAACTAGGAAATTAATTCGATTTTGTGACATCCAAACTTTAAATCAATTTTCTTTGGCAGTTAGCCTTCTAAAAGCTGAACAGTTAGCAGATATGATTCACATTATTGCACATTAATATCTATTATAAATGACAACAGGCAGGAATATAACTTGATTTAATGACTTTCACACCAAGTTAATTAATCAACGCTAGCTGCTGAGATTCTATTAGTAATTTTGTATGAGTTAAAATTAGAATGGAAGATTTTTAAGCTAGATTTAAATGTTAAATGCAGCAGTTCCGAGCTTTGGCTCGCCAGATTTAGGGGTCCACGAAGGACACCATGATGTATCTAGTGCCTCTGGTGACGTAGAGGCCTTCGTGGTAGTGTGTGAGTCGGCCAGGGTGCATCAGCAACCACCCCTTTCTCGTGTCCAACACGGAGCAGTTGTAGCGAATGAACCGACAGCCACCACCCTAGTAGAGTAAAATATCATTTGTAAATAAAAACAAATTTTTTTCAGATCAAATTGAAAACCTCGTAATCCACTTTGGGAGTGTTCAGGGCTAGGTTGATGGTGTAAGTGGATGAGTCGTGGTGAGGTCTCAAAAACGGCTGCTCATCAGGGCGGTATCGAACCACAAAGTTCATGATTGCTCGAGGTGGCTAAAATTATTTTTCCAAAAATCAAATAAAGAATTTAATATTTTAATTTAATAATTGTCTTTGATTTATGTCCACAGAAAGAGTAAAAAAGAATTTTAAACACATTTCAATTTATATAAAATCATATTTTTTAAGTTTCTTTTTCTGAGAACTAAAATCGGAGTTAGGTTTGTGCTGTCTTTTGCCATTTTTACAAGTGCATACTCAAATATTTTGTCAAAGGGTTTGCACAACAATATCATAAATCATAATACAATATAATATGTTCTGCCTTAAATAGGGCAATCAAATAATTAATAAATACTAACGCAAGCTTGTCCTTTAAAACCACAGGGTGCATTTAAGTAGGAATAGTAGTGCATCTAATTCCCAACTAATCTGTTATTGCCCAACCTCTGAATAACCATCTTTAACATTATGTTCTTACTCCGCCGTAACCCCAGAAAACGTGTTTGCTCAGAGGCCCTATGTACTCCTTCAGGAAAAAGTCCCAAACTTTATCCATGCCAACTTGGCGCATATGAATGTCTCTAGTCGGCACATTTTCGTAACCGCCCGTAATTCTGGGATCCTTTGCAAAACAAAATATAAAAAGAAAATTAAATGGCGGAGCACAAAAACTTTGAAACAAAATGAAAATTGGGACAAAAGACAGCACTGGGTCAGCAAGCAGCTTTCTTTCAACGGTGTCCACCTACATCGTGGGTGTAGCCTAAGAAAACATGTTCCTGCAAAGGTCGAACGAAGACTCGGAGAAACTCCAACCAATGCTGCTCCATGCCAACCTGCTTCATGTGAATGTCCCGAGTGGGAACATTCTCATAACCACCGTCTAATCTTGGATCCTGCAGCCAAAATTAGTTGCAACCAAAGTCGAAGAGACAAAATTTCAAATAAATATATTTATTTGCAAAAAAACATACGCTATTTTTTCCATCAGACCACTGGCCAAAGTTCTCCATTTCAGCGATTAACTCATCACAGTATCTCTCCGTGACGACTGGAAACCAGTAGACATCAGGGCAAGGCTAAAAGTTTGATGAATATGAAATTAAAATATATATTTTTTTTAATTTAAGGCAAACCTGCAAGGCAGTGTGGTTTGGATTAAAGTTGCGAGTGTAGTTTTCATGAATGTAGCGCTGCTCAAAGTCGAATTTGTTGTCAAAGATCTGGTAAAGCTCATTGTGCACATGGGACGTGTCAAAGCTGTCTGCGTTGATCAAGTGGCCGAAATCAATCAAATTGTCGACAAACATGAAAATATCCTGTTCAAAGAAATTAGCAGTTTGAAAGAATAAAAATGAAAAATTTAGGTTTACATTGTGGCGCAGAGATTCGCAGAAAGCCATGTCGGGGTCAACGCCACGGGAACTGGTGTAGGTGGGCCGCAGGTCCTCCTTGGCCAGGATGGCGCCCTTCGCCAGGTAGCAGGCACTAATGAATGGGACATTCCACACTCCTCTGCAAACAGATTGAGCTTTCTAGATAGAAAAAGGCAAGAACCTAAATTGGGAGAGAGAGAACATGTTTGGCCATAACAGTGTAATTATGTTTTCTCGGATTAGATTTTTAAACAAATAATATTTTTAATGACCTTCGATTGAATTAAAAGTTTGTCGTTTTCAGAAAATTAAATTTTCAATTTTGGGATTTTTTTCCAGTTTCTGGTAATAAAATTTATAGACATAGGCGTTTGGTTTTTGCCCCTATCTACTTCTTGAGGCGCGGATCAAAATCAAAATGTACTTTCACTGGATGAAATTGTTAAAATTAAGCCCACTTGAAAAGGACCATTTCCCGAATTTGTTTGCAATAATCATCTAATAAAAATTTGACAGGCGTGATTCACTGGCGGTCTAAATTTGTCCAAGCAGAGGAAACTAAGGACATGATGAGGCGTGATAATGGCCAATAATGAGCCAACCTCTTGGTCGCATGCTGGAGGGGTCGGTCGGCGCTGATCGGCAGGGGGACTCAATTTAGAGAAAAGGGGCCCAATCGACGTGCATACAGAGCTGCGTAGCTCATCGCGAAAGATGCGTCTGGTGGTGCTGATGGTGGTGTTGGCCGCGTACCTGGCGACGGTCGCCGAGGCGGCCAGGGGTGGTGGCAGGGGCAAGGGCGGCGGCCGTGGCCGCCACAGCATGGGCTCGCGGATGCCCATCATGATCCACCGCAATCCGGCCAGCGCCAGTTATTACAACAACAAGGACGTGAGTTTTCAAATAGGTCGACCCCGTTTTTCAATTGTGCTCTTTGTCTTTTCACAATATTTTCAATGAAAGCTTCCATTAAAAAATAATCAATTAAATTTTAATTTATTTAAATAAAAACTTTAATTATTCAAATAAAGAGATTTTTGAAAATAAAATATAATACAAAATTAAGGTAATTTAAAATTTATTTTAAATTAAATGCAGATTTTTTTAGAGAGACAAGTATTTTTAAGAAAAGAAAAGTATCAAAAATTACAAATCAGTTGCCCCATAAAAACAAAATAATTTTTTTTTAAATTTAGCTCTCAAACAAAATTTAATTGTGGTTTGATTCAGACGTCAATAAAAGCTTTAATGCTGGTAATGATAACCAATAAATCATTGGAGAGGTCAAGTTTTAAGCAAATTGATTATTTGTGACGGAAACCACAAGGTAATTTGTTTACAAAGAGTGTAACTAAAATTAAATTTAAATAATCTGACTGGAATGGCTCAATTAAGTTGCCCCATCCCTTCCCTGATGGATTACTTTTGCATCTAGAACAATTATTTTAGCTTTATTGTAATGCACTTTAACCTAATTATAATTTTTAATCCACTTTAAATTTTCAGAAATTAAACCTTTCTTTTAACAACCTTTGAAATTTTGAATTTTTAGGGTGCTTCGATAGTAAAATCGTCCCATTTTGAGTTGGACTACATGCTAGGTCGGAAAATCACCTTTTTCTGCATGGCCAAAGGTTTACCGCGGCCCCATATTACCTGGTTCAAAGACGGAATCGAATTGTACGCCCACAAATTTTTTCAAGTGAGTTTTTGCTTTAAAACAAATTATTGAAATAAATATTCCATTTGAAAAATTCTCTAAATTGATTGTGTAGGTTCACGAGTGGCCGATAGGCGAGGACACAATAAAGTCGAAAATGGAAATAGACCCGACAACGCAGAAGGACGCCGGTTACTACGAGTGTCAGGCGGACAATCAGTACGCCATTGACCGCCGAGGGTTCAGAACGGACTACGTCATTTACAACAGTTAATCGTGGGGCGACTGGTGGATTCTTTTTGTACAATTCAGGGCTATTATTATATACAGTTTGGTCCCGTTTTTTTATATAAAAATGTTAAGGAAATAAATAAAATTTGAGTTTTCAAATAAAGAAATAAATTTAAGAATTTCATTGATATTTTAGATAGTCAGGAATGTGATATACTCAATACATAAAAATATTAATTTAAAATTGTAATTAATTGAAAGATAAAAAAACAATGGCAAAATAAATTTGAGATAAAAAAATAAAACGTCTCAAATGAGATATTCAAAACGATTAACAAAAACAATGTGTGCATAAATATTCGATTTTGTTTTTTTAATTTTTAGAACATTGCTTTCTTAACCAAACTGATGGAGTTGATGCACTATCAAAGGGTTTGCCTTATGGAAAACAAGATTTTTTTTATAACCTTTTCATACAAATCTAATTGTAAGCTTTACATCTACCAGTAGGTTAATTCCTGAAAGTTTGATCGCGAACAATAATTGCAACAAACTGATTATGAGGTTGAGTCAGGATTAGAAAAAGTTATTGAATTAATATTTTTCTACCAAAAGAGCCAGTTTATAAATATGCTTTTCTGAAATAATAAAATTGTATGACATTTTATCCTAGTCGTGAAGAGCGGTGAACGAAGTTGCAACGCGTCATGCGGCTCTATTTATCCCAATTTCGCCACTCTGTACTAGCAGACCTGACTTGTTAGCAATTGCAGAGGGAAGGAAGGGCACCCATGGGACAAGTGGGGAGGGTCAGAAGTATATATCAGCTAATTTGTCAGCGATACCATCTCACAATCAGTTAGCGCGACACAGGCCACCATGAACTACAACTGGTTTGGCGTCGCCTTCGTCATCCTGGCAGTCACCATTACAGGTAAGATTCCAATTTTGAAATTTATTTTCTCTCTTCTTACTTTAAATGACTTGTTGCGAGAGATTAAATGAATTGAATTAATTTATTTTCCTCGTATGTAACAGTATTTAAGAATGAAATTTTTTAACTCATATAAGTAAATGATTATCTTTGTCAAGGATGGATGAAGTTTATAAATAAAAATTATGCAGATGGTGAAGCTAGGAAAGGTCGAGGGAGAACTCGAGCTAAGAGCAGGGTAATTGGAATGCCCATCACCGGCAAATACCGAGATCCAGAGTCTGACTTGTACTACAACAATAACGATGCAAGTTACTAAGCCTTTTGCCAAACTCTCCCTTAAATTTCCATAATCCACAGGGAGCAAAAATTACTTTGGCTTCCCATTTTGATTATGAATATGTGCTCGGGCACAAAATTGTTTTTGTCTGCATTGCCAAAGGAAAACCAAGGCCGCAGATCACTTGGTACAAAGACGGCGTCGAGCTGTACGCCCATTCATTTTTCCACGTGAGTAATATTTTATTACGTAATCTATGTAAATACTGAAATTATAAATAAAAACCAGGTCCACGAGTGGAAAATCGACAAGGACAAAATGAAGTCCAAGTTGGAAATCGATCCGGCCACGCAGATGGACGCCGGCATCTACGAATGCAACGCCGACAACATGTTCTCGATTGACAGGCGCAGTTTCAAAACAGACTTCAGCATAATCTTTGACTAGATTTGCAAGGGGCAATCCTTTAGCAACAGCACACGCGTATTATGCACTCATGTATCACAGCAATGAAAGATATAAAACAGCGAATCCATTCATTTAACTACTCTCTTCCTGCCCAGCCCGCATTGCAAAAGTACAACCGACGCTTCGCTCAAGTACCGCTGCTCCTTTTTTCAATAAATATTGAATTTATCTTCAACTCTGAAAACTTTGTGCATTTTAAATCAGTTCTAAACTAATTTGTGCCATAGAAAAATATTATTCCGCTAATTAAAAAAAAAATCTTGAGGAATTTCAATTCACCCTTCAAGGTCAATCAACTTGAGGGGCCCGGACACCCATAAGCACTCTATTCTATTAACGACTATAGCCTTGGCCCATGTGTTACGTAACAACAATGTACTACAAAAGCAATGTGCAAATTTATCATTTTCATTTCAACTCACTTGCGCTCGCCTTCAACGATTTGCAGATAATCGGCCGACCGTGCGTAATAGCCGTCCGAGTTCAGGGCCCCCCAGAAGTTGGACCAAGCTTTGCCTGGTCTGGTCAGAAGAGGAGCAATCACTGGCCTGCAATTATTTATAAATAATACAAGCTAAAAAAATAATAAAAGGAAATTACTTATTCTGCTGGATGAGATTTTTCAGGGTATCTTTGTTGTCCAAATGGGCAATGGAATCAACCACAAAGAGATAATCACAGTTGATGTCAACGCAGTGAGATCTGTTGGAAATCGGAATAAATAACTACTTAAAAAATCGCACTGAATTTAATTACATGGCTTTGTTTCTGCCCGCTTCTTCAGCAACCTCTTCGATGTGTGGAACAAATTCAACACTCTGGTATTCGGATTTGTATTTTGAAACAAATTCTTCTAGCTGCTTCCCATGATACTCAGCCTAAGTTATTAAATTATTATTAATTTAATTAAAAACTTTTTTAAATTTTACTCTATTGTGGATGAAAATGTGCAGAGATGACTTTGGATAGTCCAGGGCTACAATTTTGTTAAGGAACTCCTCCAAGAATGGTGTTGCTTGCTGGACGAAAACTCCCACCAACACAGACGGCCATTTAGATTTCTAAATTGTTGTGAAAATTAATCTTTTTCTTATTGAATTTGAACTTATCAATATTTTTAAGCAAACATTTTAATTAATTTAAATTTTGTAAACTTAAGTTTGGCCAACCTCTTCAGGAAGTTCCTTCAAATTAGATTCACATGTTGTACAGCCTGTATTTGGAGACCAGCTTTTGGCCAGGTAGTTACCCAGTGTGTTCAGGGCCTGCTTGGCCGGCCCGTTTCCGTGGATGATCAGAGGTTTCGTCCTATAGGCCACATTGTTAATCAGGGCACCATCCTCGGTAAACTCCAATTCGATATCAGCTGTAATAAAAAAAAATACAATTGGAGACTTTTTCAAGAAATTATATTATAAACACTGACCGACAGCGCCATTCAAATTTTGGAAAATTTCTCCCTTGTGGTCCAGTTTCATTTTGAGAGCGGCTCGAACGTCTTCGTCCAAAAACCGTTCGGTGTAAAAAAGTTGGTCGTCATCTTTTGCCGAACCCTTCCAAGTTGCCACAAGTTGGTACATCTCAGGTGCATAACCAATGAAACCTGTTTAGATTTTGTTAGAATTTTATTAATTTAATAATTTTTTTTTATACCTCCAGAATTAAGGAAGCGTTTTCCCTGAAGAACATTCGGGTATTTGACAGAGAGACTTTTATCAGGCCAGCAGAAACCTTCGGCTGAGAACAAAATTCGGGCCCCACTTTTTTCAAACTGCTTCACAATTTTGTTGACAGTGGCCAAGAAAATCACGTCGTAGCTAGATTTAAACAAATTATGTGAATTTTCAAAAACTTTTATTATATTATTACCTGTCAGTAAAGAGGATGACTTTGTTGTGTTTGTCCTTGTACTTGGCGAGTTCCTCTTTGAGGAGCTCAACTTTTTGACCACCACCAGCAAAGTGCATGTCTCCACCGGCCCATTGTTCGCCTTTGCCCAAGACGGTCACAGGGATGTCGTAAATCTCGGCCGAGTGGAGGAAGCGTTTGAATCCGTCAGTCTCGTCAGTGGCCACAGTGAGGGCCAAAAAGTCTGCAAAAGATTTTCAAAATCAGATTAAAAAATTTATTTATTAACAAAAACTTTCAATTTTAATATGAAGATTAAATTAAATTTATTAGTAAAAATAATCAAAATATAAGCTTTTTAAAAATCGAAGCTTAAAATTTAATTTATTTCGCTTTCATTTTTCATCAAATTATTTCTGCTGTGGAATTATCTAGTTTTAAAATTTTTCAGTTTGTTCGAAAGAGCGATAATTTGTTATTGGTTCAAGTTGGGGGCGTTGTGTGGCTTCAGATGATGAGAGCGGATGCTGCGTTGGAAGCAGCAGCGGCGAGATCAAGGCAAGACGACATTACCCACACCCTCCCTTACACGTCGACCAGCATCTCGAAAGAATTGAAATTCGTCCGATTTTAAAATAAAAACAGTTTATTTCGATAAAAATTCCAAATCCATCACTTTTTAATAAAAAATACATAATCACATTTTTTACTAATTCTGATATCAATTTGAATCTATTTTCTATTTTTCAAGAAAAATACGAACCATGGCTGTTTTTGTGCGTTTCTTGACTAGTCTCGCTCACATTTGCCAATAACGAGAGAATCACTGGCAAAACTATGGCACCGGAGAACTTTCCCATCGTGCTGAACGCAACTCGGAATGCTCAAATCGCTAATTTTGGCGAAACGGAACTTTCCGTTCGATTAAGTAAAGGGCGCCTCTGCTTCCAAACTCGCGGAATGGTGAAAAAATCACCGCATTTCACGCGGAATAAAAGTGCAATCGCACGAGGAGCTTGTTGAACGTGCGACTCGCTAAGTTGGGTCGGATTTCAAGCCTGGGAAAGACGCTGAAGTCGCGAAATTTTACGGAATCGCGAGGATTGCGAGGAGAATTATTTGAAGTTTGCTCCGGAGCAGTTTGTTTACATCTGGCGGTGGCAGCACGTGCGCCCTGCCTTGACCTTGGGGGGAGAAGGGGGCACAAATAGCAAGCAGCGCATGAAAGGCATGGCCAATGTGTAAAATCCAATAAAATCTCTCATCTTATATTTTTGATTCAATTTAATTTGTTTGGACCTGAAATGAAGTTTCGTGTGTTGTTATTTTGACCGAAGTATAGAAATTCTTTGAAAAAAAAGAACAAAAATACTGTAAAAATTGAAACTAATTCTTCAAAATAAAAAAAAATATAATAATAATAATAATAAATAAAATAAAATTCCGAATTATACCGTATATTATTTAAATTTATTCTTCTCAGACGATAAAAAAATTTCATTACTTACTCAAAAAAAGGTAATAGAAATTTGCTGCAGATTTTTCTGTGAAAAAAAGTTCTTTAATGATTATATTTTTTTCATTTGTATGATATTTAAAAAAGGCTTGAGTTATTTTTTAAATTGTCTGATTCAGTCTGATTGTTGATTTTTTCTTATTTTTAAAAATAACTTTGCTTTTAGGGGGAAAAATAAACTGAAAAAGGAATAATAAAGAAAAATAAATGAACAAATACATTATTTAAGTACCAAACGCAGCTACTTTCTGTCCATAATTATGTGCTCATAATTTTTTTATCATCATCACGACTGAACTCTCATCTTTATCGAAAATTATCACCAAAAAGTCTAAGTGTGCGTCTCAATTTGCCTGAATTTACAATTTGTTTTGAATTACTATTTCAAGTAAAATTAAAATTTTATAATCTGCATGCTCTAAATATAAGATATTTAATTACTTAGTAAAAAGTAAAACCCACTAAATTTGAGCGCTCAAATGCAGTTCAATGATGAAATTCCGCGGATTTTTATCTCCTTGCCTCTCATATATGCAGCACGGAACAATGAAACTGCTAGGGAAAGTAGTTGGGGCCGGCCGTGTTATTTGCACAAGTGCCGCAATATCCTCTGAGGTAAAGCATAATTTGTTTATAAACCAAATTTTTGCATTAATTTTTAGAACGTTGTAATTTTTAAACTTAAGTAACTGCACATTGTAGAGACAAGAAAGGAGCTTTTTCGCTCCGTGCTCCGTTTGACAAGAAAAAAAATCAGATGTGCCAGTCGATCGAACTCCTGTAGCGCGCCTCCGTACACGTTTTCTGATTTCATGCGTTTTTTGTCAGCTCAATGGATTTTCTGCTCGAATAACTATCAGTGTCGTCACACCGATTTTCTGACTTGTCTACGTGACAAAGAGAGAGAGAAAGAGGGGTATTGAACTTAATCAAAGTTTACAAAAAGGAAGTCCTCAAAAAAGAGATAATGTAAATATAATGGCAAAGCTTTTTAATTTTCATTAAAAAATTTGAAACGCTTACCTTTTTCTATTTCCTTTGTATTCAACACATCCCCGACTAAAATAGATTTGGCATCTCCTGAGCAGTCTTGAGAATCAGAACTGCAAGTCCCGTCAGCTAAAAATAATTTTGTTAACATTTCAATTTTTAACAAACTTGAATAATTATTCTCAAAACTGGAAAAAATTAATTTGCTAAGAGTAAAATGTTAAAAATGGTCGAGATTAATATCAATTTAAAATACTGTGTTATATTTTTAATTAATACTAAATAATTTTGAATTAAAAATACAAACCAGTGCAGTGATGAAGAAATTGCGTCAAGGCAATTAACAAAGCGAAAATTGCCCTGCACATGATAAATCTCAGCAGCACCTCTCCTCTGCTTCGGACGACGGCACCTGATGAACTGCAGGTTGCAGAGGTGGAAAACTAGGATTTCGTCTTGGGAGGACGCGATAACGGGGCGGCGGAGATCTGCTCAAAGCTATTTATCAGGCCGTGACTCTCTTTATACTTTGGTTATACTTGGCGCAGCCAGGCACTCGCGTGGTGTACGTGTCAATTGGAAGGCACTCAATAGGTAAACGTCGTTTTTCAAAAGAATAATTTAATTCAATATTATGCTCTTTTATAATTTAATCGTGAGAATATTTCTGCTGAAAGTGAATCTCCTGCGCATGCAGTCATTAAATAAAGCGTCGGCGTCATAGTTTTGAGATGAATTTTATTTAAATCTTTTATTAAAAAAGCTTATGAATTCCATAAAAGGGATTTACTGACATAAAATTTTGTTGTAAAAATACTAAAAATCTAAAATATGATCAAGAGTCTGATTATTTTAAAATTGTGATTAATATTAATTTTACAATCATTATTTTATTATTGTATTATTTTTAGATTTAAAAATGTGGTATTTATTTCAGTTCTATGGCCTCTTGGCCGTTTTCCACAGCAGTGGATACGGTGGCATCTCCGATAGCATTTGATCTCTTTATCCAAATTGTGTCATTGTAGTATTTTGAGTTGGCGATTCTCAGCATTGTAGATTTGTAAGAGTAGTAATAAATTACTGAACCTGATGAAGAAGTGAATTAAATTAATGATATTTTGATATACATGATAAAAATATTTTATATTTACAAAATCTGTGCGTGGCATAAAGAGGAAGTCTTGCCGAGGGCCATCGTTGGTCAACTGTGATCAAACTCCTCGAGAGAGGTTCTTCTTCAGACCAGTCATCAGAGCTGGTAGACTCTTGAAGGGTTACCCAGTGCAGTGCGACGCTCAGTATCAGGTACAAGGTTGAGATGAAAATGCTTGAACCAAACTCCTTTGTAACGTCAGACAACAAACCAGCCTAAGAAAAGATTGCATAAATATTTATTATTTAATTAAATTAATTTTTATTTTACCTGAAAGAGGAATGTGGAAAAAAAGCTGAGAAAAATTAGAATAATTGCAAAAACCAGGGCCATATCCTGCAATCTGAAATGTTTTCCGAAACGGTTATTGCCAGCTTGTCTGAATTTTGCAAGTTTTTCTCTTACATGAAAACGACCAGGGCCACGATTGTGTCGGTCAGAGTCAGGTCGGAGAATGCATTTATGCACATGTCAAGCACGAGCAGCATGCTCTGCACCGTGATTAACGTCACATACCGCGAGACGGAGAGTTTCATTGGCGAAAATCGATGAAAAGCGTGTGAACGACAGAGGCCACGCGGCCGACTGCGGAAGAATTTCGCGGTCAACTTTGGCGCCGCGAGCAGGCCGGCCGCCGATCGTCAATTGTTCGACCCTTCGCAGATTTTCATCGGGAAAAATGGCCGCCCGCTTTATACGTTTAGGAAATTCTTTGAAGCTCTACACCAACAAGACCAGCTTGGTGAAGGTAAAAATTCATTGTTTGTCACGTCTGTTAGATTTTGAACTTTTAAATTTTTGGGATTTTCCGAGAATTTGCCGTCAAGGAACCCGAATTCGTCCGCCCCAAAAGTTACCTCAACAACCCCATTGATCGTGCAGAAAAAGCAGATTTTCCTTTATTTTGACCTCTAACTGACCAGCAATGTTGAAATTTTGCTAAAAATTTAAGATTTGTGTCAAAATTATCAAAATTTTCTCAAAAGCTGTTTAAATTTTTTTCCTTTTTTGTTTTGTCAGAGTCGAAAAATGAAAAATTCTTGCCGGTTTTTCATTTATTTTGTCTTTCTTTTTCAGCATGCTTCGTCGGCATCGGCTGTGAAACAAAAGTTAGTCAATTTGCCACCGACCCAGTTGACGCAGCTGGACAATGGCATGCGAGTGGCGTCCGAGGACAGTGGCCTTCCCACTGCCACCGTCGGCATCTGGATCGACTCGGGCTCCAGATATGAAACGGACAAGAACAACGGAGTGGCCCATTTCCTAGAGCACATGGCCTTCAAGGTATGACATTTAAAACTAAATTTTTAATTTCAAAACTAATTACGTAAGTGACAGGGCACTGCCAAGAGGTCTCAGACCGACCTCGAACTTGAGGTTGAGAACATGGGTGCCCACCTGAATGCGTACACCTCCAGGGAACAGACCGTTTTCTATGCAAAGTGTCTCTCAGCCGATGTTCCGAAAGCCGTGGAAATTCTGGCCGACATCATTCAGAATTCAAAGCTGGGCGAGCAGGAGATTGAACGGGAGCGTGGTGTCATTTTGAGGTATAATTTCAAAAGTTAATAAGTAAAGAACAATTAAAGAAAATTTTCTGTCCAGGGAGATGCAAGAGGTAGAGACAAACCTGCAGGAGGTCGTGTTTGATCATTTGCACGCCACTGCCTACCAGGGAACCGCCTTGGGCCGCACTATTTTGGGCCCCACCCAGAACATCAAGTACAATATTTTCTTAAAACTGCTAAATCTTAATTAGATCTAAAAGTGATGAATCAAAAATGCAACTCTGACACCTCTTAACTGAATTTTTTGTTGTTGAGAACTGCTTAACATAAATAACTGATAGAAAATACATAAAAATATGAAGTTTTGTAAGTTTGCATTATTTTTTTAACGCAAGTTTTAAATTTTCAGGAGCATCACCCGTACCGATCTCGCCGATTTTGTCAACACCCATTACAGGAGTCCCCGAATGGTGCTTGCCGGTGCTGGTGGTGTCAGCCACAACGAGTTAGTCAAGCTGGCCGAGAAGCACTTCCCCTCCAGCAATAGAGGCGCCGAGTCTATCGAGATCCCAGTCGTCCCCAACTGCAGATTCACTGGTCTTGAAATAACTTCCCAAAGGAAAAAAATTTTATCCAAAACTTCTATTCTGTTTGCAGGCTCTGAGATCAGAGTGCGTGACGATTCAATGCCACTGGCGCACATTGCGGTTGCCGTTGAGTCATGCGGATGGGCAAACCCTGACAGTATTCCCCTCATGGTTGCTAACACCATCATTGGAGCTTGGGACCGTTCTCAGGTATAAATTTAGTTTTGTGAAGAAATTTAATTGTGTGTTAAACTGAAAGCTTAAATAATTTTTTGCCAAGCTTGTCATAATTTTAATTAATGAATTGTAAATAAATTTACTTAAAAAAAAGCCTTTGAAATTAGGCTAAAAAGCCCAGTTCAAGTGTTTAAAAAAAATAGATATTTGAAATTATCTCATATCTAATCTCTTCATTTTTTTACATATTAAATTAAAAAAAAAGAAAACTGCTAGAAATTGACCAGTATCGCATGAAAAGCTAATTTTCAAATAAAAATGATTTGATTTGGAATTTCTATGATTTCAGGGTGCTGGAACTGCACACGCCTCGCCCTTGGCCAAGGCCTCTGCCGAGTCCAACCTGTGCCACTCGTTCCAGTCCTTCAACACCAGCTACAAGGACACCGGCCTGTGGGGAATCTACTATGTATGCGACCCGATGAGCTGCGAGGACATGCTGTTCAACGTGCAATCACAGTGGATGCACCTCTGCAACTCTGTGACCGACGGTGAGGTCGCCAGGGGCAAGAACTTGCTCAAGACCAACCTGCTCCTGCAGCTGGATGGCACCACCCCCGTGTGCGAGGACGTCGGCCGCCAACTGCTTACCTACGGCCGCCGCATTCCAGTTCACGAGTTGGAAGCCAGAATTGAAGTAAGATTTTTATAATAAATCCAAATTTAAGAACAATTTTAATGATGAATTAAAAAGGCAACTGACACCTCTTGTCTGAAATAACTGTGTTGAGTTTTGCTACAAAAACTTTCTGATTTTTTTTTTATGAAATAAATAAATTTAATTGATTTTTGGAGGCTTTATATTTATTTTTAATTTTTTTTCCAGTCTATCACTGCCCAACAAGTCCGTGACATTTGCATGAAGTACATCTATGACAGATGTCCCGCAGTGGCCGCCGTTGGACCCGTAGAAAACCTGCCCGACTACGTTAGAATTCGCAACTCCATGTACTGGCTTAGGATCTAAACCACCCTCTTTGAATTCTTTTATTTCGAACCAAATCCGCTCCATCAATTTCGATTTGCAGCCACCATATCACCAGAAACGTGTCCTGGCTCTCCTTTGTTAATGTTATTTGTAGAGTTGATTCAAAGTTCGGTGGCTTCGTGGAATCCCAAGTACAACACAGTCAGAATGCTGGCATTTATTCAGTTGGGGATTTCACGAGGAAATCGAAACTGACTGAGCGGACGTTTATTTCATATTGTAAAAACAAAGATAGACTAAAGAAAAGAACCACCCAACAGCAGCAGGTGTAATTAATTCTGGACACAATAAAAGAAGTTACATGTTGTAAAAATTTAGTTTTATCTTTTCAGAAATAATTCAATAATAATTGATACCATTATGTTTTCCATTCTTTTGACAATCACAATTTACAAAAATTCTGGAAAATAATTAATTTTTTACTATTGAGATAAAAAAAATTATATCGAAAAGATAGAAAAGCATATCAAAGCCACCAAAACATGTTACAAACTTAAAAATATATATCTATTTATTTACCAAATGTGTTAAAAGTATCCTCCCAAAATTACTTAAAATGCCACTTAAAAAAATCTCATTTTAATTTTATTCAAGTTCAAATCAAGGGCTTTAGTAAATTAATATTATTGTTGACTGCTAGATTTTTTTTCAACTAAACACTTTTTTACATACACATGTTAACAGCTTAATTCCAGTGGTCGCGGCGCACCTGTTCCGAGACGTTTAAAGCGGACCCCCGTTTGCGTTTGCCAAATTTTCAGCGAGCATCCTCGCCAGTCAGACACACACTGCGGTTGTTTCTTATTCTTTTTTTGACTCAAAGGGATTCCCTTCACGCAGCACCGCGACTACAAAACAAACCCGCGACACCCTAATTTATCGGTTGCCTTTGTGTCTGCGCGCGGCCAAATTACATCAAATCCTTAAAATTCGCCGATCTCAATTGCTTCGAGATTTCCAAAGAGCAGCGACGAGCGTCGGCCGCGATGGCATACATAAATTAATAATAAGTCGGAACTGAGTCAGTGGTCCAAAATTAACCCAGTGGGGCAGCAGTCAAACAAAAGTAGCTCCATGCAAACTCCCTCGCGCCCTCATTCGGAAACAATCGACACATTTAATCCTCTTCAAATTACGAATAATATAATTTTTTATTAAATTATGAGACCTTTAAGTGTGAGAAAAACTTGAATGCAGAATAATTTAATGAAATTAAAAATTTTTATTAGATAATGATTTATACATGTATTATTTTTAAAAATAGATTTGTAATGACACAAAAATTTAATTCTGATTGTACAAAATTTTGGAACAAAAGTTTTTTAAATACGTTATTAATTGTGTATAGAAGAGACGTGTATCTTTTAGTTCAATTTTAGTTTCAGAATGAAGAGATTTTAACAACGATTATGTAAAATAGTTTTTCGGGAAATAATTTTGAAAAATTATTCCAAAATTAAAATTATCACCATAAGAAAAATTTCTTTAAATTTAAATCCTCACATCATTTAAAACACTGGTTTCCTAGAAAAATGATAAAATTTATTTATAAAAATTCGGTCTAGTCGCGGGTTCAAAGATCTGTGGATCCTTTTCTTTTTTTTGTGAACAATCGGCCAATTACACACAGGGAGGGGTGAGTGTTGTATAGTCTCCGCAAGCTTCGTCTTGTTCAGACTTGTTTCTGATTTTCGGCGCGCGGTATAATTGAGGGAGAAGAGAGGGTCCGCTGGCCAGAAATCTGCTCTGCCTCCTCTCTTTCGCATACACACGCAGGGCAGTTAGTTTTGTGTGTCCGTGCCAACCCACGGGCTGACTAAAATAACCCACAGCCCGAAGCCTCCTGGTTGAAATGTGTGTTGAGAGTTAGAAGCAGAAAAGAGGCACGAGCGCAAGTGGCACCGCCGCACCAAAACGCCGCACGCCGGGACACCTTTCTTCCTTCAACCCTTCTAAGCAGGTACGTACCTTCGGCACCCACGTGCGAAATTATTTCGACGACTCATAGGCAAAGGCAAATGCAAGTATTTATTCTGAAGATTTGTTTTCGACTCTGGAAAATGTACAGTCCAGAGGTGTGATGCATATTGCATACACGAGGCTTCATAGTTTCAACCAGCACAAATTGCGTTTTAAGTTTTAATTAGAGTGCAAAAGTTGCAAGTCACGGAGTGCACGAATTTCTCACTTAAAGCGGTTTAAATGGCGGTAAATAAATCAATGTAACTCTGAGTAAATCGCATTTTCTTAATTTGATATAAAATTGGAAAGTGAAACCATTTTAATATTAATGCCAATTAGAAATTTTTCAAGTCGCATGAAATTTCAAAATGAAATTAATGCAGTTTTTACAGCACTAATAACATTTACATGCCCATATATGGTTGTATCAACATAAGGTTTTTATATAATTTTCATTTAGAAAAACTGACTTCAGTACAACAATTCAAAATTGCAAAATAATAATATCAGAAATCCAGAATAATGTGTATTTCTATTCAACAAAATTATTTTGCATGCAACAATTTGAAAATTTTATTCTGTTTTTAAATCGTTTTGCTTAAATGTTACCATTTTTAAGCGTATATAAAAAAACGATTTGCAAAAAAATTTCTGCTTCATCAATATATTTTAATCATCGAATAATCTGCTGAATTATCAAAGTTATACTTTTGAAATTTATTAATAACTTATAAACTCTTATTTATTAAAAATACTTAAATATAATTATATGATCAGTGCCAACTTTAAACATTTTGTTTGACCTCAAGAATAAAACAAAAATTTAAGGTAAATTTTTTAGAAAGATTTCCATTTTTATTTAAATTTTACTGCTTTTTAATGTTATTTTCTAATATAAAATTTACAATATAAGATTGCACAATTTTATTAATGTTGGCTGAAATTAAAATTCTATCGGGAATATTTATACAAAATCATTAAACCCCTGCAACTCGTAAAGAAATTTAATCATTAATAATCTTTTAAGTGCTTTCAATTAAGCACCTGCGGCGAAGAAGCCAGGTGCTCCTCGTAAAATTTTAAAAGGTGCGTGAAAACTAATCAGGTTTGAAATTTACTAGCTTTCGAGACGGAGACTTTTCAATAGAAACTGCAAGTTGTTGACGTTAATTCAGTTATTTACTTGGATGCGCCGCCGCGACAAAGGAGAAATCTGCCGCGGCAGAGATGAATAATTGAGAGCTCGCATTCTTGTCTCTCACGCGCGTGCTTTATGCATTTTTATTGAAAAAAATATATATAAACAAGAAAACCTTCTCTACAGATTTCACTTCAAATCGTAAAAAGAAATTTATTTTGAAATCGCTCTCAATTATTTTTTTATTTCAATTTTACATCTATTTTTAAGCCCTGAGATAAATTTGATATAAATCTTATTATTAGAGCTTGATTGGAATTTCCGGAATTTCTTTGATTCGATTCTTGGGCGAGTTCTCGTTACTCGATCCGCGGATAAAAATTGCGTTGAATGCCCCTTTCGCCACCCACCCAAGCAGGCTCTCGTCGTGAGTCAATGACGGGTTTAACACACTCTGCGTCTCCAACCGGCAGACGTGAATCGTAAAATACATTCCAGAGCGCGTTCGCAGATTAAGAGTGCACGGCTAGAAGATTGCCTCGTTTTTGCTCTCGTGCGACCGGTGCACCTCCAAGGTTCATTGAATTGAAATCTCGAGAGAGAGTAACTTTATCTCGCTCACCACTCCAAGAGCACAGAGTGGACGCCCGTCTGACATGAGCAGAGCAACCAGAAACATTTTTTCGCAGAGGTCACTCTGAATTGTCCATTTTTTTCAATCAATTAAGAATAATAATTAGAAAAGAAATAAAAAATGAATATTAAAATTTTTTAATAAAATTCTCCATAATAAATCTATTTTTTCTATTCACCATCTTTGATAAATAGGGTAATATTTTAAAATTAGAAAAAAATGCAAGAAGTGGTTATAATTTTGTGTTAATAATTTTTTTTTTTTTTTACAAATATTTTTTAAAATAAATAATTAAATTGCATTATTTTTAAAATGTTTTACTTTTAACCAAAAAAAAACCTATATTTTTGTATGTTTTTCTTTGATATATCATTTAGATACGTAAAAATATCTTTTTTTTTGCATTTTTTTAAAATCATCTGAAGTTTACACCTTATCGAAAGCAATTTTTCATCTAAAATCTGTGATTTTTCGGAGCAAAATTGTGCAATGTTTAAAATTACTAAATATGTGTAAATTGATGAAAATTAGTAGAAAAAATTTCGTTTCGTAGTTTTGTAATAAATTTCTTGCAGTTTTTTCTGCTTTTTTTCTGTGGGATTTTTTTCTCCGCAGGACGTGACGATTTAAAAAAAAAATATCATCACGCTATACATATTTGCGCAATTGATCGATCTACGTTGATCAGAATTTGCGCATTAAAAGTCTAACTTCTACAATATACCGGCGTCCTCTGCGCTGTCTGTAATTACAATATCCTCCGAGTTTGTTTTCGCAACGAAATCGCACCTCTGTACAAAGTGTGTGAACAATTCGCCTGCAGCCTATAATTACAACGTTCTAAAAGCTTTACATAAAGCAGCGCGAAGGTGAAAGAAATGAAGCGTGAGTAATGGTGAGCGAAGTCTCAATATTGTCCGTCTTGTTTTCTCACATGAATTGTACCCTTCGCGTTCCTATTGTTCTCCGACACGAAAGACAAATTAATGTCACGAGGTACATATCAGAGGCTGATAATTGTTATTTGCATTAGTCATTGCGCCTTCAATTTATTTCTTAAAATCTTAAAATAAAAAAAGGGCGTTTGAATAAAAAAGCTCAAATTAATTGGCATAATTTGATTCAAAAGGTTTTGAGTTTTGAACAACACAGAACAACAGAGTAAAAAAGTTAAAATTCTAATGTTGAGAAGCTGACAGATATTTAAAAGAAAATATTTTTATAAAAATGAAAGATTTATTGGCTACTAATAATTATTGAAGCACAGACCAATCCAACTCCAAAATCTTCAATAAAATTTATTTTGCCAAAAAATTATTTACAATCTATAATCGTTACATAAGAATCTTTGGAAAATGAGCGTTGTTTAAAATTTCCAAAGTATTCAGACCGTTTTAAAAATGTAAAAATAAACATGAGTACCAATGATAACTAGAAATAAGTTCACAACTTAAACCCTTTTGTGAATAAACCAGAAGTCGTAGGTATCCTTGTGGTGCATTTTGAAACCATTTCTCTCCATATGGGCAATTATTTCAGTGTGAACCGCAACAGGACTGTTGTAATGTTCAATGACCATTAACTAAAAATTTCAAGTTTTAAGTGTGTAATAAAAATTAATAAAACCCACATCAACGGACACTCGATCAAAGTCAATAGTTCTCAAAATATCAAGCTCGTTTCCCTCAACGTCCAGATTAAAAAAGTCCACTTTTGTTATTCCGAGGACGTTCATGAAAGTGTGAAATGGAATACAAAGAGCCTCCACGTTAAAAGTGTATTCGTTCTGTTTTGTGCCACTTTCCACGATTTTGCTCTGCAGCCCACTGTCCACAAAAGTGACCTGAGATTGATTTATTTCTCAAATTTATAAATTAGAATTTTAACTGAAACCTTCATGGACGTTTTGTTCTTGCTCATGCAAGTCGGCGCAATCCACGCCTTTCTGCCTTTGAGCAAAAGTCGTTGAATTTGTCTAGGACCGGCGTCGACCAGCAAACCCTTCCAGTTAAACAATTTCTCCAGCGGCAGCGAGCTGGACAAAGACTCTCCATCGAAAGCCCCACAATCAACAAAAAATCCGTTGTTCTGAAATGATTTTCACGTTCATAAATTTAATCAAAATAGTTCAGTTCCATGAGTTAAAAATAAAAAATACCCTGTTTTTCAAAAGCGAGTAAGCTATTAAAGACGAGTTCATATTTGTATAATCGGTGGCATTAGGGTTGAAAAGGGCGTAAGGAGAATTCCGGTCTGCCGGTTCGATCAAAAGATTTCTAGTGTAATCGAGCAAAACAGGGTCGTTCTCAGCCAGTCCGCTAAATTGGTCCACTGCAAAAAAATGGCACAAAAAATCGAGTGATGAACGAAATTTGCAAACGCATACTTGTGTAAGCCAAAAGAGTCTGCGGTCGCTGGTTCCATTCTTTAAATTTGTAAGCACTCAAAATAAATGTCGTGAGAACTAAAATTGCCACGACCACTCGCTTGTTGGAAGGCATGGCGCACAGTGTGAGCATATCAATTTTGTAGCGCCCTTTATCAGGTTGGTCGTTTCCTGTCCACCTTTTAATTTCGGTTAATTGCACCCTCTTGATTTCATATACATTTCCTTGAATTTACTTTTCAACCTTTTTCATATTAAAAAAATTAAGTAGTCTTAAAAACTTTTACCATCAAATGGACTATTTCAGTATATATAAAAGTTTTCAATAAGTAATTGATTTTTTTTCGATTGTTTGAAAATTCCAGAAAATAAAATCAGAATGTTTCAAATTTGTCTATTTATTTTCTTTTTGTGAAATTTTACCAGAATTGCAGAATTTTTTAATTTTTTCAAAATTTTTAAAAACAATAATTAGTTAAATTTGCTCTTTTTCGTAAGAATTTAGCAAATGTTGCAATCTTTAGGCAGCGAAAAAAATTGAAAGTTGAAAGGGTTGAATAATTGGCTACGATTCAACAGATTCTCGATGGGAATCGGAGCAGCGAGCTCAACAAATCGGACAAACATCGAAAAATTACTTTCTCACAGAACGTGGCGGAGAGAGTAGAAGAAAACAATTAAAAGGTACGGCACGTCCGTTCGAAAGTAAATGTGCGTATGTGTGTATTTACTGCGGGGCTGTTATTCGCCGTACGTGCCCGTAATTAGGTCATAAAAGCGAGGGGACTTTGTGTGTTTCAATCGAGCGATTAATTAAATCTGCGCGAACCAAAATAGCCATAAAACAAAAGGAGCTCGGCGAAAATAAGAAGAAGAAGAAAGACCCCTTCGCGTTTTGTTTCCGTTTCGCGAGATTGACGAGTCAAAGAAAGGAGTGCAACCTAGTTCGCGCCGAGAGGGGTGTTGATTGGCCGGCGTCCCGCGACCGCCCGAATTGGGTCATTTGGCCATTGCGGCCAGCAATTGATGGGCCGCTTAATTGGCTCGCCTTTTATTTAAAAAAAGGAGGACCTATTTCATAGAAAAAAGAATATATCGGCAAGTAAAATAAAAAAGCTTTTATTCAATTTTCTTTATTTTATTAATAAATAAATTTTGGAGAATATTAAATCTTCAAACGCTTAAATTACACAATATTCTAATAACTTATTCTGGATTGTTATGCAATTATTTTTCTTTTTAAATTGTGTTCCCTTTGGCTATTTCAAACAATTATTTCTAAATCGGGAATTTTTGTGAAACATTTAAGAAAGCATTAAATTTTCTTATTTTTAAATTTGTCACGAATTTAATTAAGTAAGAGACTTAAATAGACCATGCAAGAAACTCTACTTGGAATTAAAATTGCTTTAACCACGAACCGGAAAGCGTGTCAGCAAAATTTACACAACCGCAAATTTTAAAATTACGCGTAAATCTCTGAGTTTGTCTTTTGTGCGAGGTTCACCATAATTGTTTATCATTTCCTGCGCCAAATACAGAGCTAATCAATGCCCCGCAAATAATTGTTATCTTTCTCTATCAACGTGTACGACTGTCTCGTGTGTGCCATAAAAACAATTGTCACACATTTATACAGATAACCTTCAATTGTCTCTCTCGACTTTATTATTTTCACAGAAAAATCAAATTAAAAAAAACCCACACGGCCAAAACAATGAGCATTTCGCACCAAAAATAGGAAGTACCTTTTTGAGAGGAAAACCAACGAGCGCCTTAACATTGGCATTGATGCAGCTGGGTTAAGGTCACCCACATGCGGCGTGCCCAAATACGGAAACCTTTATTTTTTTATAAATAAAAACGGCACTCTCACTCTCATCGTTAAAAATTTTACGTCTTTACGTTGAGGTCAAATTGCTGAGCAATGGAAAGTTTGTGGATTAAATCAACAAATATTGGGACTTTAACTTATAATTCAGTTAATTGAGTTTAACACAATTAAATATTTATCTGAAAAAAATTATCACAGTTTCAAATAAAATTGTGTTAGTCTTACAATTAGTCCATCTTTCCCTAATCCAAAAGAAAATGCAGAAACTTGAGAAAATTGAAGTTTTTTTGATACGTCAAAACAGACTTTTGAAATTCTTTTCTAAATCAGCGTTTGAAGTTGCATTTTGTTTATGAATAGCTAAGCATGTGTTAAAAATAGTTAAAAACCAAATATTTTAAAAAGTAATCTGGGGTTGTCCCTGAAGATTTTGTGAACAGAATATTGAGGCTGAAAGTTACAATGGCTTAGCTGTCTGTGATTTTATTATTGAAGAAATTGCAGCAATTTATTATTTAACTATTTTCATGAACAATTTTCCCCACTGATGAGAGAAAATTTATCAAGAATGACAATTTTCAAAGTTAGGAAAAAATAAAATAATATAATAACTTAATAATTTGTTTTAACCACAAACAAAAGAGTTATGAAATTTCCGTTACTTTCAACCAAAATTGCCAAGAAAGAAAAAAAATATTAAATTAATAATAACAAAATAAATAATATTAAACAATGAAGTATTAAGACCTTTGGTCCATATTCAAGTTGAATCCAACGTTTTTTTTAATACCCTCACAAAAACTAGCAACGTTTTCTTTTGCAAGAAAATTCTATAATATTTTATAGAAATTTTATAAAATATTATAGAATTTTCTTGCAAAAGAAAACGTTGCTAGTTTTTGTGAGGGTATTAAAAAAAACGTTGGATTCAACTTGAATATGGACCAAAGGTCTTAATACTTCATTGTTATTAGACAAAAAATAAATTATCATATACTCTGATTAGACAAAACGCACGGGCTTAATCGACAATCAAAAACAGTGTACGAAATTGCAAATAATTATCTCTCGTCCCTGCCAAGTTCGATCGCGATGGTCCGTCTGTCTCGCGGCGGGAGTGCTTGCTCGGTGCTCGCTGCTCCTTCCTTCTTTTTCCATCTCTCACCATCTGGCTGCTCTTTCTTTCTTTGGCCGTCAGTTAACCGCCGAGTGCTAACTGGTGAACACGCGCGCGCTGACCTGAGCCGCAGGTGCGCTTTGTTTTGTAGAAGTTTTTTCTCAAGTTTTTCGCTCACAATGGCCACGCGCACTGTTGTGACGAGCGGCACCAACAACAACCAAAACACGGCCGACTTGGCGGACAAAAATAAGAGGCTGGCCTACAACATGTACCGGGGGATGCTCACCCAGTTCTACCCGCAGGCCAACGCCATCATCGAGCAACTGCCCCAGGAGCGCGTCTCCTACGACCAGGGAGTCGACCGGCAGATTTTGGAAATGATGTACGTTTTATCAATCTATATATAATTTTTTCCACGATTTTAAAATCTTATCAGCTGTAGTTGAAATTGTAAAGTTAATGTTTCTTAAAAAAAAAAAAATAATTTAATAAAATTTTGATAGTTTTTTTTTCAATTATTATTAAATTTTAAAGATCTATAAAGAAATATTAATAATTGAAATTTCTCAAATTTTTCTTCTACTAAGAAATAATTTATTTGCAATTTGATATAAAATAAGAAAAAAATTAAATTTAACTATTATAAGGAGCATTTCTAATGAAAAAAAAAAATCCAAAGTGCAAAGAAATTGATCATGAATAGCCTATTATTTTGGGTTTAATTTGATTAAAAAGTAAAAACATTCATATAAAAATAATGCATTAGCCTGAAAGATCTCTCCGCAAGGATTTCAACAATTTTTGTGTGTAAAATTAACGGAATTTCATAAAATTTAATGCAGGGTTTTTGATTCAAGAATAAATGTTTGATGATAATTTCTTTCACTTAGAAATTCAATATTTTTCCATACACTTATAAATTTTAAATGCAAATTTCCAACTCAGGAATTAATCCGAGGAAATTGCTAAAAATTGTGAAAAGATGGAGTGCGTGTGGTCGCAGCATGAACATTTTAATTTTACACGCGAAAACTGGTTTTCCAGTCGGTATTGTTCCTTGCAGAACAGCGTGCAAATAACATGGGGTGAAAAGTGAGACACGGCGAGCAACAATCATTATAATTTCAAACTCGAGTCCAGTATTGCTGTAAAAGTGGGTACTATATGAATAAATGTACTGAAATGTACTTCAGTATTTTCATTGTCATGATTATAATCAAATTAAATAAATAAAATGCAGTTTTATAATCATTATAATATATATAAAAATTGATATTATTTTTGGGTCAGATATTAAAAACTCTACAAGAAAAATGTTACAATTAATTGATATATTCTGTTCTTAATTTATAAATTCATATTTTGTTGTTAGAGTTGATAAAAAGTTGCAAGTTAATTTATTGTTAGAGTTTGTATGTTTTTCCCGATGTTGTCGTTTTATGGGTTTTATAGTTTTTATTTTAAAAGTACAAATATAACATGGAATTTAGAAACTGAACAAAGGAAACCAGTGTTTTGAAAATGATTGCAAAAATTTTAACTTTTGAATAGAAATCTCACACAAGCAATATCCAAGTGGTAGGAAATGTAAAGCCAATTTATTATTTTAATTCAATTAAAACCGATTAAAACGCAAAAATAACCGCAATTAAATTACAAAATATTGAAGATTTAACTTATTTCTTCATATTTCAATTGGAACTGCTGAAATGAAAATGAGTAAATAATTTATTTAAAAATAATCTAGATAATTAAACAAAATAAAAATGAAAAAATTAAGTTGCCAGGAAGTTGCTACATTGATAATTTACTGACCAGGTTAGTCATCATCGAGAACACATTTTATTATAGAATATTTTATTTTTGAATCATCTCCCTCATTGTTGGACCGCATTTTATTACCATGCGTTTTTCCTCATTCCACATGTGAATTACAATCGAAACACCCACCGATTCCAAGTAGGCGTCTCTCTTGCAAAACAGCAGCATAGGGTATCAAGTGCAGACCGTTTTTTTTTTACTCTCTCGGCGCGCCAGACAGTGGTCTGCCGGACTACACGAAGGACTGGAAGCTGCCTCTTTTTTTATCATCGTCATAAAATATATATGCGTGTAGAGAGGATTGGAAAGGCGATGTGAAAAGCGGCCGTTGATGCTGCGGCCGAGAAAGATGACATCATATTATATACTCTGGATAATGCGTTTGAGGAAAGATGCTGACAATATAAACCGTTGATGGCACTATTTTTAAATACGAGAGCTGAGTCAAGTAGGGAAAGTACACTCGCTTTGTTATCATTCATCAAAAAAGCTTTCTGCCGTGAATCACAGTTTTTTAAAAAGACTTCTTGCATACGGGTGGTCCTTGACAATCTGACGAGTGCTAGATTTGAAATCGAAAGCTTATTTTCCATTTATTATGTTTCATTATCATGGTTTATCAAAGTGGGCTTTTTATTGAAAATATGCCTGTTCAAATTTTATTAATATTAAAAATTTAAATTGTTATTCATTGTTATTTTTCCGATATTTCATCAAGAATTAAAAAACCTGGATCTGAAGAAAAACCTTTTAAGTAATTTACAAGAATGAAAATTAATTGGGTCAAAATTTGAAGTAGGCAAATAACAACAACAAATCCAAAATTTTAAAATTACAATTAAAATATAATTTATTGATAAAATACACGACAAAGGAAAATTATATTTAATTTTTTCAAACTTGTTTATAATAAATTTTTTTTATTTATTTTGATTATACAATTTAGAAAAATTCTTAAATTCCTTGTATTTCTATTTAAGAATACAAAATAACTATCTGTAAGCAGAAAATTTCATAAAATTACTAAGAAAAATCTTTGTATATAAATGTGCTGTTTTTCTCTGGATCGTTTTCTGCGGTCGGTTCGTTTTGCTGCGGGGCGAGGTAAAGTGATTCAGCCGCGGTAATGAGCGACGTGCGCGGCGCCGTCGAGCATTATAAGCCCATATAAGTATGCTAGGCGTCGAATTAGCCATGCGGTTTCATCTCTGCGACTAAATAATTACGACTGCTTATGGGCAACGATGCTAATCGCAACCTTGCAACGAGCTGCGGGAGAAAAATAAGTCACACACACACGCGCCTGGAGACTAGGCAAATAATTGGTTCGCGTTGTGCCAAATAGGGGAGAACGAGAAGTGAAATATTATTTTATCATAAACTATATCTCTAAAATTGTTCCAACCAAAAATAGGAATGCTTTATTTTTTTACATGAGTTTTAAAAAATTATGTATATTCGTATAAATTCTAGTTAAAATTCAATTTTATTTGAAAATATTTACAAATTTTCAAATTAAAAATCAATTTATTTTACATACTAAAATGCACAATTAATATAAATTTCATAGAATTTGAGTTTTTAATCATTTTTGTAAAGCAAGCTTAAAATTCTTAAAAAAAAAACTAAGTATTATAATTGTAAGAACTCAAATATTTTTAAGAATTTTGGCTTTTTTAAACATTAATAAACTTAGTATTTTAGTTTCGTAACAGCTGTATAATCATGAAGACCAAAATGTTTTTAAAATTCAATCAAGTTTAAATCAATCTATGAGAATTACAAAATATAACTATTTTTTACTTTTGAAAACCCCAAAAATTCTCAAATTATATACACCAAAATTATGTTTTTAATTTATTCATAACTATAACTATTTTAATATTATTTAACAACGAAGTTAATTTCAATAAAAATAAATTTTACTCTTGTCTAGAGTTTCGACTCCGGAAAAACAATTTCACGATCAAACATGTGGGGTGTGCTTGTGCTCAATTTAAATATAACCTTTGCAATAAATTTTGCGCGTCTCGCTCTTTTCGGTTGCGCAAACTCGCCAATCGGTCGATCCGCTGGCAAATACCCAGATCGGTCTCCTATAAGCTAAAGGTTGTAAATCCAAGGTCAAGGTTCGCGAACTGCCATTATGTCTCTCACGGAGGATGACCGGCGACCGGCCGACTGACTTCTAAATTTAGCACCCATAATTTACGGCCTGCTGGTGTCGCCCCCGAAGACCAAAACAAAACTTTTTCGGGACTCTTGTTCTTCGGAGCAGGCGATTCGCGAGAGTGATCGACTATTTTTATAACAGCCACGCGCGGACCACCTAAATTGAACGATTGGAAATAAAAGTGAAGAATAAAATAAAATTGCTGAATTATATCAAATGGCGATTAATTATTAATTGATATTTAATCTGCAGAATATTAAAAAAGCAAATCAAATTTAAAAAACTTTACTTTTACAAATAAGTGTTTTTAGACTAAAAAAATTTGATTTTTGATTAAAGGAGTTACGTATTTTTTTAAAGGGTTTTCATTATTGATGCCTAAATTAAGGTCTATTTCTAGAAAAAAAGCAGTCAATTTGGATAAAATTAAATAAAAAGGGACAAAATTAGTATAATTTGTAATAATTCAGGCTGCTTCCTTTATTATTATGAATTAAAATATATTAATTATCATAATTGTAGCTCATTTTACTTTAAATACAAGAGAAGTTTCAGACTAAAATTAAATTGACAAGCAAAAGATTAAAAAAGTGTGTTTTTTACAATCAAATTTTGAGATTAGAAACAATAGAAAATATACCTTAATTTGCTCTCAACTATTAATCAATCAATCAAATTGTCCAAAATATTTTTTGGCATTTTGCTCCATTTCACGAGTCAGATTTTGCTTATCTTGAAACCGGCCGTGTTTCTTTATTTTTTATTTATACAAGGTTTAAGACCTTGAAACGTGTCTTAAAGGTTGCATGAAAGTTGTTCGACAGCGGTGGAATTAATGAAATTTGAATTGTCACAATGAGTAATGAGAGAAACCTGCAGGACGCATCCTGCTCGAAACTCTCGAATTAGAAAAAAATTAAAATAAAAGATCCACCGGCTGTTCCTAGAGTTAATTCTCGAGCCAGCTGCGCATATTTTGCCTGCTGCGATTTAGCACTGCAGCGGTGAAAAACAAACAGAGAGAGATAATTGGAATGCAAGCGGTGCGCTCTTGTTTGCATCAGATTGAAACAAATAAACAGATGCACATACAAGTAGCTAAAGAAACACACCGTTTATATTTAAAACTATATTTGTATTTGCAACTTAATACACGACTCCTTTCTCTTCTTCTCATTGCAGACAACAATCGAGTCAAATATCTGGTGGGGCCAAGCGAGGGTCCAACATGTCAGGTGAGATGAGCGTTTTTATTGCTTTCGAGGTCTCTCTTTTTGCAAGGGGATCGCCTGGGAACGCGTCTCGTTTCCAAGGCCAGTTTGCTCGTTAATTACAATTTTTATTGATTAAAAACCTCAAACCGCATGTTTGATCCAGCGGAATTAATCGGAGATGATAACTGTTGTTATAGGTGATTTGGGTGGAGGGCCCGGAGTGCCACCTCCGCCACCGCCTCCTCCACCCCCGATGCCCGGTCCTGGAGCACCAATGGCAGCCAGACCTAGGGTTAGTATTATTATGAAATTTTAGACTTAGATTCACAGAAATTCCATCACTTTTTTGTAGTTTTATGCAGCATTTTTCTGCCTATAAAAAATCGTAATAATTTTTTTAAACAACGAAATATACTGTGAGCAAGATTATGCATTTTTTACCTAAAAAGAAGTTTTAGCGAACTCCGCCATTGCTATAACAAACTTTAACCCCCTGTCAAATGTCAATTATGCAACACGCTTTACTTGAAAGTGCAACGTGTAGCATAGCCATAAAAAGTATTTACTTTTTATTTAAAGAAAATAAATGTTTTTACTTTAAATTTCGTTACTTATATTTATTTTCAATATTCTGCAGCCCCCACCTTCTTCCTCTTTGGAGCCTCCAGCGGCCATCCAGGTGGCCATGATGGGCCAGAGCAAAGACAAAAAGCCCTTCACCTACACCCCCGGGGGCATCGACCTCTCACAAATTAAAAGCCCTCGCATGGCGCGTCGAATTTGCCGCAATGCTGCCAACGAAGGGGTCTCCGGGCCGCCTCCACCGCCTCCGACCAACGGCCAGCAAGCGCCACCTCCGCCGCCAATGGCGATGCCCATCCTGCCACCCCAAGTGGCCGTTCCCGTGCTGCCTCCGCCGCCCCCAATGCCTCAGAACAACCACCGACCGCCTCCGTCCCCTCAGCAAATGCGGCCCCCGCTGCCCCCTCAACAACAGACGCGGCCCCCGCCTCTACAGCAGCCTTCCTTGGCTGAGGTGATGAAAGCGTCCCTGCCGGCGCAACCCCCATCCTCTCCTCAGCCCCAACTGCAGCAGAGGCCACCCCCGATGCCTCAGGTGGTCAGAGCACCGGCACCGCCTCCGCCGCCTCCACAATTGGTTCATCAACAGCCTCCACCGTCACCTGTTCCTCAACAGGTAAATTTAATATATAATTAAATTATAATTAATTTTATTGAATTTATAAATTTATTAGGTGAGACATGAGCCAGTTCGGGCCTCTCCGACTCCGACCCAGTATCAGCAGTCGTCCCCACAAATGACTTACCAATCGCCTCCGCCGCCCCCTGTTCCACAACAGGTAAAATTTTGATATTAAACTTTATTTTATTAAAAAAATCTTTATTTACTAGTTCTATTTGAAACTTTTTATTTTGTGTATTGTTATTCAAATTTACCCAATATTCATAAATTAATCATATTTTAATTTTAATTTGTCTCTTTTGTATGCTGTTACATTAATTATAATGTTTTGCTATTTTTATTTTATTTTTGTATTCATATTTTATCATTTTTATACAATTTTATTTTCATTCACTTTATAATTTTTGTTCAGGTGCGAAATGAGCCAATTCGAGCTTCCCCGACTCCGAGCCAGCTTCAACAGCCACCCCCGGGTACACTTTACATCCCTGTGGTGATGCATCAACCCCAACAGCAGCAGCTGCCGCCGATTCAGCCTGCCTCTGTGGCGCTGAACAAGACGCAGAACATGCCCTGGATGAACTCGGCCTCGCCGTCTCCACAGTCACCCGTTCCCATGTGGACCCCGACCAGCACGCAGCCATCTAACACCAGGGTCATCCCTATTCAAATGGAAGGACGCAATTCGCCTATGAACGCCGCTCCACAAAACAGGCCGCAGCAGCAGCAGCAGGGTGGTGCTAACGTCAGGGTCATCCCAATTCAAGTCGAAGGCAGATCGCCAGCAAGCCCACCAGTTGTTACTAGGTATTTATTCTTTTATTCACAAAAACACATCAAACTAAAATATTAAAATTGTAGTTACAATTAAAACTCTTTAACAATTAATTAAATTGATGATGCTTTTAAAACAGTTTGAAATGTCCTATTTTATTTAAAAAAAAAAAAATAATAATAATTTAAAAAAACCCGAATTTGACAGCGGTTTTGTAAAATATTACGCTAAAGCTTATTAACTTTAATTTTTGTAAAAATCGCTTCAATTAACCACTTGTAACTTTTTGCTAATTTTAACTCTGTTTTTTTGCACTAACATAGCCCCGGAGTGCTGTCTCCTCGGGCTGGTGGTGGTGGTTGGGCATCGCCTGGTCCAGATAATCCAACACAGTCTCGGTCATTCAGGGTCCTGCAGAGAATCACTTCCTACGACGAGGTAGAGGCCGAGCCACAAGCGGCGCCAGTCTCTCACTCAGGGCCGCCCCCTCCCGCTCCAATGCAGCAGATGAAGAAAATGCAGCTCTCAAATGATGACAAGGCCCTGATGGATCGTTTCAAAGCACAAGGCAATTATTTTTTTTATATTTTCTTTTTTATGTACATCCTCCATCATTCATTTGAGAGTTGAAAATTAATGTATCAACCTCCTGATAAATAGAAAAAATGACAAACGGCCATTCAAACGGACTGAGAGCTGCAGTAGTAAAGGAGCTGACGAACGGTCACAAAATTAATGGCTTTGGTAGCGTATTTCAGCTTTTTATTTTTACGGTGGTGGCAGTTTATAAAAAAAAAATGATTTAATTTACACATTCAAATTTTCTTATTATATTTTTTCAATTATTTTTAGTTGACGAAGACTCGTCTTTACACGCTGAGGCTGATCCTAGATACAGAGGTGCGGCGATTCCCTCCAGGGCCTTCAGAATGCTACAAACCATGACAGGGCCTGATGGAAACAATATACCTGCTGACGGCTATGGTAGATTTAGAAGATCAAATTTATAAAATAAAATTTTTTAAACTTTTTGAATAGCTCAAGCGCAAAGGATGCCCGTTCAGCAGACTAGAGTAACGTCAGAGCTTTACGTGCCACCCTCAGAACAGGGGGCGCAACCCGAGCCTCGCAAATACACTGGAAGTGCAATCCCCTCTCGGTCCTTTAAAATGCTGCAAGCCATGACAGGGACAAATCAAGACGAAAGTAAGTTTAAATTTTTTCTCAATATTCTCTCATCCATTTCATGGCACCATACTAATTAACGGATGGGTCCAACTTACTTCAATTGAATAAGATAAGAATGAAAAATAATTTAAAATATATAAGCACAGCAATGATATTTAGAAAAATTAGGATTTTACTAGATCTTTATAATACTCATGGAAATTCAAAAACATTTTTATTTTGTAGACGGCTTGGCATATAGCGAAGCACCTGCTGAGGCCATGTATTACCCTAACCAATCTCCTTGCCCCTCTCCCTATTCCTGGTACTATCCTCCAGAGGGGAGCTCTGGCGACCCTGTCTGGGACTCATACATATACGCTTATTACCAAACATATGGGCAATACCCTCCTGGATATTATTATCCCAACGGCTATGAGTCGGAGGAATTTTCTGGCTACTCTTCCACCGAGGAAATGGGCTATTATGACCCGCACCAAGCGGCGGCCTATTACGCCAGCCAACAAGAATCGCAAAGTGAGTCGGACAATCAGGCTGCCTCCACCACAGACCAGGACCAGAACTCGTCGGATGAAAGTGAAGACTCGGAAACTGAAGTTGAGGACAGCGACGAAGAGGAAAACGTAGAGCCAAAACGGTCAAGCAGCGGCGCGATACAAGCAATTAAATCTGTCACTGACGTAAGAGTGATCACCACAGATGAGGATGACAGTAGTGAGCCTGAAGAGGAGGCGACGATAAAACAGCCCGACAGTAGCAATTGCTCCCTGGGAAGTAAACAACTCAGCATTATTTACGAAGAGAGCGACGTTTCAGATGCAGAAAGCATGAGGAGGATGAATGGAGGATGGAATCGGAATAAATCGTGCCCTGAAACAGAATCAAGCGAGGGAGAAACTGAGGACGAGTACCCAAATACTAGTGCAAAGGAAGAGGATGATGATGATGAAACTAGCACAGAGGAGGAGTCTGACGAGAAGCATGTCATCGGAAAAAGCGTCACCCCGAGCGAATCAAGAACCACGGTGATCGACACTAAGGAAGAAAGTGAAGAGGAGGAAGAAGAATCTGAGGAAGAAGAGTCTGAGGAAGAAATTAAAATTCCCTCCAGGCCTACTCAAACCAAAAAAGAAGAAAGTGAGGAAGAGGAGTCTGAAGAAGAGTCTGAGGAAGAAGAAAATATCATAAAGCAACAGACAGCAAAAAGTAAAAACTCATCTGAATCAGAGGAATCGGAAACAGAAGAAGTATGCCTAAAGGCAGTAAGGCCCGTTCTTTGCAAAGATGATGAGGAGGAAGAAACCAGTGATGAAGAACCGTGTGATAGAAAACTGATGAATTCTTCAACAGTAGTTGAAATATCCAAAGCAGATTCCGCAGAAATCAGGGAAGAGTCCGAGAGTGAAGAGGAGAGTGATGACGAGGCAAACGCCACGGTAACCGTTCGTCTTCCCTTAAGAATCAAAATAAGCCCCAGCAGCACTAACTGTGGACCGGTTGCCACTTTGACCGTTGGCAACAGCGAGGAGGTGCAGAGCTCCGAAGCAAAGGCAGCTGCAAAAGTTGAAGAGTGGATGCAAAGGAGCGAGTCAAATGCGAGCATTGGCAGCAGTCCTGAAGTTTCAATTTGTCTCTCATTGCCTCTGAGAAGAAATCCAGCTCCTCCACCTGAAAACGAGGACAGCCACTGGGAGGATGACTCGAGCAGCACAAGCATTCAAACGGTGCGCCACAGAAGGACGAGTGCCTGCAGCAGCATTCACAGTATTGCCACCAATCATCAAGTGTCAACCCCACCTGTAGATAGTGACAAGGAAAAGTCAGACGACTGGGACACTAGCAGTCCGGCGCAACCTCAAAGTCCGGCTATCAAAGAGGAACAGCCCAAAATTGTGGCACAACAGCCCGAGGAAAAGCCGAAAAGGTCAACTTCCTCAACGACCTCTGCCTGCGAGAAGAGATCGAAGCGAAACAAGAGGCGCAGCTCGACGGAGGATGATTCAGGAGTGACCGACCTGAGTCGCCAGATTTCAGATAGCGAGTCCGAAGTCGGTCTGGATCTCATGCTGGCGTGCCAAAGGGCCGCGACGCACTCTCGGCTCTTTAAGTTGCTGCAAGACGCTGGCGTCTGCAGTGACGATGAGGAGGACGAAGAGGCAGAGGAGAGTGACTCCCAGCAGCAGCAAAAGGAGAGTTTAGATGTCGTGATAGTGCCGGTTACTAAACCGGACGCAAAGCCCAAACGGGACACCCTTCGCCTACCTCTGCAGGCCGAGGTCTGCGACAGCAGTAGCCTCAGCAGCTCCGAAATAACATCTCCAGCCTCACCGACAGTGGCCGCTAAGCTTGTCCGTGAACTCGCCAAAGAGTTGTCTAAAAAGAAGGGTAAGAAAAGCAAGTCAAATCGCATCCACGCCACCGCCCTGCGAATCATGAAAGAGGAGGACAATGACCCCTACGACACAGGCACCACTGGCAGCTCGGCCTCTTCTGACAGCGGAGGTGCAAGACCGTCGCCCTTGCAGACGCAGCAACCGCCCATGATGCCGCAGTACTACCCTGCCTACCCTCCACCACACATGTACGGCCCTCATTACTACGACTATGTCGATTACTACAATTCTTGGGGCATGATGGACCCCAGAGAATACGCAGCCATTCCCGCCAGGGCGTACCGCGTGCTCTCGCAGCCAGGGGCAGGTCCCTTGGAAACTCAGTTCGCCAAATGCCCTCGGATCAGGCCGTTTGTCCAGTCCCCTCTCGTTCCCTCTCAACCCTCTCCCACCCCCAACTCGCAAGCGAACAATTGTAATTCGGCCTCATGAACCGTCTGAATTGCTCTTCTCTTTCTCACTCCAATTATTAAACCCAGGTTCGTTGAAAAAAAAAATCAAAATATATAAGAGACTGAAAAAACGTTGAAAGCATTGATTAGAACTTTGTGGCTATACGAATTGAATTGGCGAAAAACACACACAAAAATGCAAAAGTTTCACAAAATTTTTCTGAGGCTTAAAAAAACTTTCGTTAGCTCAAAGTGGTTGGCGGCGGAAATTACTCGCTCATTTCCTGACGTGCGATGACAATTTTTGCTTTTGAGTCAGGTTCTGCGCGCACCAATTAAGCGCCGCTCAACTTTCCGTAGTGCGTGTTATTTGGATTGAGTAGGCTCCGCTATTTCGATTTAATCCTAACGCCCTGTCACTGGTTTAAAATAATAAGTTATTTTCATAGTTTGACTGTGCTACTTTTCTTCTTATTTATTATTTGACCCTTTTTATTTGCCATAAACTTCTCTCACTTGGAGTAAACTCCACCAAAAAACTATAAATTTAGAAAAATGCAGGTGTCCTCACAAGGTCACTGGCGAGGGTGGGGGGTTGGTATTAATTACATTATCATGCAATTGCGAATAAAATAATGAAAAGTAAGTAGTTAGCTGTAGAAGTTATATATTCTCTCTCGTTTTTGTTTTTGTATCACATTTACATTCAGCTAACAAACCATATAATTATATATTTTATCAATAAATCTCTCACGACATTTTTCACAAGTCACTAAAAGCGCGAGAACTTTAAATAACATCGCTGCCATCCATAACATAATCAAAGTTTTCATTAACTTCTCTCATCAGCATTGACCCGTAAATGGTGCAGTTTGCTTCAATGATGGAGGAACATTCCGTTTTTCGCACGCTTCTCATTTTGACTAGAGACCCACCCTATGAGAAATTTCAACCGATTTTCTGCACAAAATGTGAAAAGGCCGAAGGAGAAAATCGGTTGAGCACAAGCATGCGTGAAAGGTTTTGTTTTTTGCACGTCCCTTAGTTCAAAATTCAAGGATAGTGAATTTTATGTACCATTATCATTTTAGTTTTTAGTTTTATACTGTGGTTTCTAACATGATTTGCTATATATTGAAATTCATCACTTCAAAAGGTCTCTGCTTATGATTTTCTCTGTCCAAAACAGGTGCGGGTCACTACTCAGATTTGTAATTCTGCAGAGATGGCTGGCGCTTTGACGAAAAGATGAAGCTTGAGGAAAATTTTCCGAAAAAAAGAATGTCAGCAGCCACGTTTGAGGAAGAATTATGATTCGCAGAAATTTATAGAATTGTAAATATATGAGTTTACAAATTAAGAGATATGTGAAAATTTGTGGATATACCTGCCATAACAAAAAAAGAAGAAGATGCCCATGCGTATGAGCTTTTAATTACGTGCATTTTTGTCTAGCAGCAATATAATTATTGTTTCAAGTTTTCCGCCTGTAATAAAACTATATAATTCTGCAAGACCACTACACGCTCTCGATTTTGCCGACGACGTTGTATCTATCTCTCTTTATTTTCCGTTGTATACTTTTTTTTAACTAACCAATGACGAGGAGGAAATTACCAAGATATTTATATTACGATTTTTCATGAACGTGCATTTTAATAATATCATGAATGTGTGGAATGCAGACATGGAAATTTTATTGATGTTGCGGTACTTAAATAACTTTACATGTATATCTTCTTGTGTGCTTAATTTTTTGCCAATTTCAATTTTGTGATCAAAAGATGAGTAGATGAAGTTTTTTTTAGTTACGAGCTTAGCTACTTTCACGTTTTGTATTAATGAATAAATAAAAGATGGACTTAAATAATTCTAAAATCTGCAAATTTTCTTCAATCTCCTGTATCAAATTATTGTAATGCTGAGTTGTCAAAATTAATTTTTAAGTAACATATTGTTTCATAAAAAAGATCAAATTTTCAGTTCTGAAATAATTCAGATAATTCAATTTCATCATAATTCAAATCAAAATTTTTAAATGTTAAATAAATTTGTGCACCTGCATTTATAAGAAAAAATTCTTAAGCGTAAATAAGACAACGACGGCTAAAGAGAGTAACAAATGTAAAAATCAAAAATAAAATAAATTAATTTCTCTGCTTTATACTTCCAGCAATGAATTCTTGAATGTTAAATTTGGGATATTTTTATAAGTTCAGAAAAAGCTGCATTGTTAACAATTGTTATGAAAAAACCATAAGAAAAATGTAATACATATTAATTTACTTATATCTGTGAGAGAAACGCAGAAGATAAGCGCACGTGGCCACTTTCCAATGTATTTTGTCGTAGAGACGAATTTCCCCTCGCGCCTTTTTGCGAGGCGATCGCAGCGCCACCACGTTAGCGACACGAGCGCCGCGAGGTGGGGATCGTGACGTCACAGTCGTCACAGTAAACTCGTGATCAGTTGTGTCGAGCTGCGTCGTTGTATTTTGCGTCAAATTAGGCCTTTTCTCTTTGCACACCTGCCGTAACTGCCCGTTAATCGGATTACCTGCCATTTTCCACGCACTCTTGATCGAGAAAAGACACCAATCAGGTGAGAACCGTGGCGAGACTCGTCAATTTCGGCCAGAAAGTTCGCCACCATTACAACGGCGAACGTCCAGGGTCGCGCTGAAAACTCGCTCTTGGCTACATTTACTGCTGTAATTGCACAATTAACCAACCTCGTCATATCCACCTCGGTCCCTAGTAATTGGAAATTGCCATTTTCACCTCCGAGAATGCACCTGAGTCGCAATTTCGTGGCCTTTTTTGCAGGGGATGGGCTCATTGCGACTGTCACTTTCGGATGAGTCACTCCGCAGCCACACTGACTTCATAATTGCGCACAAAGAATCTCGTGAATAATTGCTCGTGTCGTTTCAGGTCTGACGAGAAATGGCAACGCGCAAGAAAGTGCTGCTGAAGGTGATCATCCTGGGCGACTCGGGCGTCGGGAAGACGTCGCTGATGAACCAGTACGTCAATAAAAAGTTCTCCAACCAGTACAAAGCGACCATAGGTGCCGATTTCCTTACCAAAGAGGTCATGGTCGACGATAGGATAGTTACCATGCAGGTGAAAAAATTACAGAAAACCGATATGTCAAAATTTATGAATTATTCAAATTTTCAAGGACGATATAAATGACTTAATTGTGACGTAATTTCAGATCTGGGACACTGCTGGACAGGAGAGATTCCAAAGTTTAGGGGTGGCTTTTTACCGAGGAGCCGACTGCTGCGTCCTCGTGTTCGACGTCACGGCACCCAACACCTTCAAGAGTCTCGATAGCTGGCGGGATGAATTCCTCATCCAGGCTTCCCCGAGGGACCCCGAAAACTTCCCTTTTGTCGTTTTAGGCAATAAGGTTGACCTTGAGAACAGAGTGGTAAGAAAATAACTAGTTAAAATTTTGTGCGTTGCGATTTATAATTATGATCTGTTTGATCTTGCTTTATATTTATTAAATTCCGAATGGTAGTGATGGGAAATCCATTGTAACAATTTATATCAAAATTGTGCCTTTTAAGTGGGTTGTTCTTTATTTAGTTTTATTTAAAAAATGGTTTTCTTTTTCTTACTGTCGCATTAAAAAATAATAGACAAAAGTCTAATCACATTATAAGAAATAAACATGAGTCAAGTTACTGTGAAATTAGTTATTTACATTTATTCTTCAGAAAGAATCATTGAATTTATGAAAAGAAAAATCAAAATTCCAACTTAAAAATGGCAATATTCTGGAACTGGATTCCTATTAGAAGCTAAATTTAATTTTAAAATATTATATTGAAATTTTCAATACTTTAAATTTAATCAATTGATTTAATTGCTGATATGAAGTGATTCATTTTTTACTGTGATTTTTTTAAATCTTTACTTTTTTAGATAAAATTTTAACATAATTCTTCCTTTGAACCCCTTAGTTCTTATTATAATTATTATAATTAAAATTGAAATTTTCATTTGACAATGATCAATAATTTGTAAAAAAAAATTCTTCCAGATGTGCTATTTTTTTATTTACAAAATCAGCTCTTAAGTTTTCCCTTCTTTCTGCAGGTTTCGGCAAAGAGGGCGCAGCAGTGGTGTGCCAGCAAAAACAACATCCCCTTCTTTGAAACGAGTGCCAAAGAGGCAATCAACGTGGAACAGGCCTTCCAGACCATTGCAAGGAACGCTTTGGCTCAGGAGAGTGAAGTGGAGCTTTACAGCGAGTTTCCCGACCAGATAAGACTCGGCGAAGGACAGCGCGGATCCCGAGGAGCAGGAGACAACTGCTCATGCTAACCACTCAGGTTAAAAATTAACCTTGATTAATTTTTTTCCATTTAAAGATTCAAAAAATTTAGAAGAATAAAAAAAAACTTAAAAGTTCTACTGGAGATACTGATTAATTGTTTCCGTTGCCAATTTTAAATTCATGTTTAAAAATAATTAATGAAATACCTGGAAATACCTTTTGGGATTTAAAAATTTTAATTGTCAATTTGTTTATTAAATTTGAACCATTTGCAGGTGGTCCAGTGAGATTACAACTATCAAAGATGAGAATATCAGCAGTACCAAGAGGCCTGCTCAGCTTTTTCATTCCACTGGCTTGTTCCATCATGTCTTGCGCCTTTTAACCTTCTCTTTTTAACCTGCTCTCATTGTGCAACAATCATCGAAGAAATCGCGCAGTGACTCGGAAAAACTCATTGATTGGCTTTGAGATTTTGAATTCTTTCGCAAAGCTATTTTATGAAATGGTTGTTCGCGAGCCACCAATTATTGGCAAATTTCTGTTGTCAGACTCAATGTAAATAATAATACGTGTACGGATTTTGGCACCGCAATTGAGAGAATTTTTATGCTTTTTTACGTGTGAATGCCTGCGGATGAACCATTTTTCAGCTTTTTCTTTTGGCCAATCTGAAAAATTGTTCCTGGCAAGCATTTTGTTTGTACAAACCAAATTATCCAGCGATTCTTGTCGACTGCAATATCAGGCTGCTCTTGAATTTAAGTCTTTATTTTTTCTTTCGAACTAATTCCAACTTAAGCCTCATCATCTTGTAGTTCTCTAAATAAAAAGAATACTAATCCAGCTGTCCTTGCCAACAGCCTATGTCACATTTTGTATGGATGCAATACACACCATTTCGATTTCACTTGCCGCGAGTGGCAATTTTAATTTATGGGTCGTGAGAAGCGATTGATGATCGGAAGTGATGCAATTTGTATAACTATCCAGCATAGTTTGCCGATAATTGTGATTAACTATAGTAGAGTCTTTAAAAAATCACATAAAATACTTTTGAATTTTAATTTTTCAGCCGTGTGCTTTTCAAGATTCCATCTCTTCTTTAGTCCTCACCAAAAAAAGAGGAAACCAAAGCATCGTTGTAGTTTTTCTCGCCTTTCATGACAAAAGAACAATTCAAAAAGCCTGTTCAACGAATGGGATGCAGTTTGTTGAAGAGCTTGTCACCACTGATAAGCAGCTGAATTCATTTGTTGAAACTCACTAAAGCATAGATAGGCTGATTACTTTAGTTTGAAATCAATTATATGTCTTTGCTTTGGACCAGTTCACAATCATTGTGAGATCTCCCATGCCAGATTCGCGTTTGGTCCGCATTGATCGATGCTGTTGAAAAAAAGTAACAAGAGATAGAGATGAATTATATTATGATTATATTATATTAAATTATCTTACTATGGAGTTATGATGATTACATATTATTTACAAATAAACTGATGGTAATTTCACAATATTACTGTGCTTTTTGTTTATAAAATTCATTTTCAAGTATGTAGTTGAATTAATGTTCGACGTACTGTAAAAATAGTGTTTTTTTTTATTGCTTCAAGTTGTAATTTGTATTGGGAGTAAAATACAGTTTATTTTGTTGTAAATAATTTATATAAATAACAACAAAACTTATTTATTAAATGTGAAATTTGATTATAAATTAATTATTTTTATTTTTGATCCGCAACTGCTGATTCTTCATTAATTTAGTCTGATAATTTTTTATTTTTTTTATTTCACTAAAAAAATATTTATTTAAATGAACCAACCATTTCACACACAAATGAATTGAAAATCTTAATGAACAAATTGACCGATTTCTAGTTATTTCTAGCAGAGGCTGGACATTTTTATTTGCTCGGCACATAAATTTCCATTTTAAGTTTCATCAGACTTTTCACCACTTGGAGCAACTGAAATGCGGCGCCAGGCCAGCCGTGACCATTTCTTTCAAAGATTTATAAACCCAGACGACGAAGAAGTAAACATCCTCCATCCTTATTATTGCCAGCCTTTTTCCGTCCTTTTCTGAGAGAGCAGAGTGGAGGTGTCTCGAGAAGTTGGGACTTCCCTACTTGTTTTGTTGTTCTGCTCATCCCTTTACCTGCGAGAGATTTTTTGGCGACAATAATAAGAGGATGGGGTTGCGCGCATGTACCTGTCACAACTCGTTCAGCCGCGGGCCAAAGACCCCCGGGGCGTGGAGAGAAAAAGATATGAGAAAAGAATAGGAAAAGGCTACTCTCGCAATCCCCTCGAATTTTTTCTCTCCAGCGCGAAATAAAGGAGGAAAAGAAACGCGAAACAGCTTCTGCATTTCGCACCCTGCAGGTGAACAAACGGGGGCGAATTTAACTGTGAGTAATGGTCCTGCGGGGATAATGGGATTTTTTGCGTCACCGCTGTACAATAATTGTGTATACGTTTTATTTTTTTCTCACAGCGAGGGAGACGAAGAAAAGTTGCAATTGCGAACAGAGCAATCGTCTGAAAAAAAGCAAAAGGAGAGAGGGATCGAGGGATGCTTTTTGTTTAAAACATGCAAAGGGTGCGGCGAAAATGTAAAAAAGTGGAGTAGAATATAAAAATGAAGCAGAAAATTTCTCATATAAAAAATAAAAAAGTCTTTTTATTTTTTATCCATGACCGCAAGTTTATAAAGTGCCGATATAAAAAAGAAGGAAATAAAAATGAATTAAATTAATATCAAAATTTTTGCAGCTGAAATAACACTTCTCTCTCTCTCTCTCTCTCTGGTTTGAATTTTAATGTTTGTTTGGCTAATTAATTGTCATTCACGGCAGCGTGTAAATAATCAGCACCGCGTTTTTGCAAGTGAAATTCCAGTGGCAGACAATTTTAATTTAGTCCCTGCGGTTTGGCCCAATTCACGGTAAAAATTTGTAATTTAAATTTGGGACTACAAACACAATACAAAGTGATTTGACTCTGTTGACGGCGGTATAATTAATTACTTCGGTTGCAAAGTTATTTGCTGGGGGATACACGAGGCGGTTCATTTTAAACGGAAATTTTATTGAAACGGCGGTGGTTTTCGATTAGCATAAATCAATTGGACTGGAGCGCAGTAATGCGTCAACGGGGCAGATCGATCAGTTAAAAGGAAAATGGGTCAATTTATATTGTATGCAAATTGATATAAAAAAAAACTACATCAAAAGAAGATTAGTTTAAAGCTGCTATTATATCTTTCAGACGTTCATTTACTGAATTTATAAAAGAGCACGTAACAAATTTTAAGTTTTCCGTAAAAAAATCAAATACGTGCAATAGTGATCTGGATTTCTAGAAAGTTGCAAAATACAACATTTTTAATTTATATTTTATATTTTACCATAATTACAAACCCTTGTTGTGCCTTTATCAGTGAGTTTCAAAACGGCGGTAAGGGCAAAGCTCGGCGGGTGAGAAATATAAAATTATCACCTTCTTGCATAATATGTTCTTTAATCTCATACACCAAAACGTAAATCAATATTGCATACTGGGCATTAAAATTAAGCAAACGAGAAATTTTTATCCACATTGAAGTTTAATTGATGACCTGATTTGCAAAATTAAACTCTCAATTTGTATAGTTTCAAATCCATTTAACTTTTTATTAAGATTAGTGCACATGATCCACAAGCAATAAATATATTTTTCATAATTCATTTAAATTAACCTTAAAATTTGCACCTTTCACATTGTAAAGTGTTAATTAAGCTTTATTTCTAAAAAAAAATCTTCAACCTTCCAGCCAACCAAATTTCATTCCGACCATAGTTTCGAACGCTGCAACTCTGGGCCGATAATAGTCCTTCAAAGCTATTCGGACTGTTTCATTAAGCTCAGGGTGCTTTCTGCCTTTGTTTTCAAACAAACATGTCGACTTCCCTGTCGGACCGCAAAAAATATTCCAAAAATTTCCAGTGTTTGATGAGAAATTGCTCTTGGTTATTTGAATTGATATTCCCAAAAAATTCTGTACGCGTTCCAATTCTTCCCAAGGTTTCTCGACAAATTTCTCGCTTGACACTACAAGCATTTGACTCGGCGGGAAGTACTGTGCCCAGTTTTGATAATGTATATCATACTTTCCAATGTCCACTCCAACCCACAAATTATCATGCACTTCAAACCGGCCATCGCTATAGGTTTTTGTCACCAAATTATTAAAGTCGCTCCAATGATGATGCGAGTATAGCCTATAATTTTGTGCCATACGAGTTTTTTTTTAATTAAATTAGTTTTGCACTCACTGCGTTTCTAAAAAGTCGGAGACAAGACGGTCTATTGGGTTTCGAACGAGTAAAATCAACTTCATATTCGGATTTGCATCATGAACCCTTTTGGCAACTGTGAATTTGTTAAAATAAGTTGCAGTCCTTTCGATGACTAGGTGCTCAGGGCCAGATAGTGGCATGTTTTCACTAAATAAAAAAATTATTTGCGTCAATTCCGTAAATTAATTATAATTCCTTGCATGTAAGACTGAAGTCCTTTTGCGTAATTGATGTCGTTTTCAAAAAAGTGGCGTTCTTTAACAGCAATTTTCACTTCTGGGTGGTACTGAAGAAATTTAGCCATTGCGAACGTTCCTCCTTTTTTGACTCCAATTATCAGGGCGTCCGGGATTCGTTTTCTCATCATTCCGTGTTCCAGTTTGGTTTTGTATGGCGATTTTCCAACTTTTGTATAATAGTAAATAAGACAGTAAACCAGAGTAATGATGCCCAGCAGGTTTACAATTGATGAGCGAATGCCATTTTTCCTAATAATTGTTAGAGTAAAGAGTTTCAAAAATTCCATGGTGAGCAGCGAATTCGCCACAACATTCACAATAAGTAAGAATATTGTTTGTCAACGTTTATACCGTTTATACTTTAGCGTGAAACAGACAGGAAGTCAGCAAGTAACTGATTGCGCTTTTGATAAAATTTCAATTGCTTTTAACAAGGCTACATTTTTTTTTTAAGGGGAACATTTGATGTAAATGTTTTAATTTCAATTCAATGAAAATTGGAAATAAATTTTTCTATCCATAACAAAATGGACCCTAAAAGGACATTTTCTTGAATAATTCTTTATATGATTAAAATCATAGACACTATTAGCATAAACTTTATAAATAATGAGAATTTTCAAAATGTGGGCATAAATAGATAAATAGTAAAATTTGTATTCAAAATGATTTAAAATGATTTATAAAAGTTTAAAAAATTACCTTTCCAGACAATTTGAAATATAAATTGCTAGTATTCTGGAACAATGTCGAGATATATTTATATTTAAAATTGAAGATTTTACAATTTTAATAAAGTATATGAGAGCAATAATTTTTGAAGAAGGTTACACTAGATTAGTTATTTCAATAATTGTATTTTTTTTTCTTTGAAACATTTTTGCTTCAAATTCCAGCGTCAGTTGAAAAATTTCAACCTGAAAATGTGAACACAAGTGAAAAAATTAGGGAAGCTGTTTGTACAGATCATAATTATGTATATCTTTCTGAAAGCAGTGCATATTATCCTCGTCGTCTAGTCACGTGACTTGGCCTGATTGAGCGTGACCCCTCTTGGTCCGCGCCGCTGCTTGCCGCGTTTTCTTTGAGTCAGTATCTTCTTATATTCACGTGACTTTGTATGTATATCTGTGAGTGCAAATGGTGCTCATGAAGAAGAGAGCCTGTCTCGCCCTCTTGCTAGTCGCACTAGCCGTGCCAGTCGACCTTCTGCCCACCACCAACAGAAGCAGGGACGCACCCTTAGCCGCCGAAAAGCAGAACAATGACGGGTCCGGTGGCCAAAAGGAGGAGGACGTCGCCGACCAAGCGGTATAATAAGAGTTTATTTTCCAAAGGCCCCTTGAAAAGAATAAAAGGCCAATAAAATCGGTCAGACGCTCTTTTTTTGACCTTCATTAAAAGTTGCTTCATTTAAATTGCGTAAAAATAAATAAAATAAATAGATTCAAACTGGATTAAAAAAGCCATGACTTTAGATTGATTTTCTTAATTCTATATTTTTTAATTAAATTTATCAATATTTTTGTAAATCTTAATTCTTTTTAAGAAAACATAAATGAATAATTATTATTTAATTTCCATTTCCAGTTGCAATTTTTACGCAAATTCGGTTACCTAGAAAATAGTGGCAGTGGAGTGGAAAATTTGTATAGTGGCGAAGCCGTGACTGACGCGATAAAGGAAATGCAAAAGTTCGGTGACATTCCACAGACAGGGCACCTGGACAACGCGACCGTGCAGGTGGAAACAAATTTATTTCAAGTCTCCATTGCGAAAAAATATTTTTGTGTTGTTATTGCAGCTCATGCACAAAAGGAGGTGCGGAGTGTCGGATTTGACCCGCAAATCTGACCCTAAAAATAACATCGCTCAGCCACCGAGGTCGGCCACGGGTCGCCGGCAAAACTCAATGCGCCGCTCGAAACGCTTCATCCAGGGAGCCGAGGGATGGAGAAAAAGAACCATGACTTATTTGTGAGTAAACTGCTTTTATGAGAATTGAAACCTAGAAAAACCCGCAATTCACGTTTTTTTTCCTGCCTTGTAAATATTTGTTTTACGATTCATATCCTTTGGGGCTTTTCTTCGAAGCCAATTTAGAGCAGAGATGATTAATAAGCGCTTGGCCAGAGGCGTTTTGCACAGTAATTATACAACGGGCTCTTTCTTATGTTGTGTCTACTGACGTCAGATCTATAGAACTGTGCATTTTTTATTTGTAAAATGAGATTATTGTTATAATCCGAGAAAAAATTGAAAAATGAACAAAAACAATTCATTGAGGAAAGGCTCTGATATTTAATTTCAATTCCCCCTGAATCATCATGTGATTGTGAAATAAGAAATTCTATTTCTCCTACAATAAATAAATTTCAATCTACAACAAAAGAATCGCACTTTTACCGCTAAAAGAATTAAAACTTTTATTTAAGTCTAAATGTCATGATTACTCTTAATTTAATGTTATTCCTTATTAATTAATGAGGAGGCTAATTAAAAAAAAAATTATATAAAGGGGAAAATTTCTGTTCTCATTGAAATATAAACAATTAAATGCCCCTCTTAAAATGTTGTAATAATAACTAGTTGAAATCTACTTTAATTAATTATGTAGCATTTCAAACTGGAGCCCAAAGTTGAGTCAAGAGATTGTAACGATGGAGATGCAGAGGGCCTTCCAAGTGTGGGCGGAATATGGAAACCTCAAGTTCATCAGAGTAAACAGTCCGGACGCAGATATAATTGTTGGTTTCGGCCGCGGACCTCACGGCGATGGGTATAAATTACAAGAAAAAAAAACGATTATTTTTAAAAAGGAATAATTAACAAAATTTCTGTATAATAGGTACCCATTTGATGGAGAGGGACTTGTTTTGGCTCACGCTTTCTACCCTTACGAAATGTCTTCTTTCGGAGGGGACATTCACTTCGATGACGACGAAAGGTGGAAAGTCAAATTGACTGGTCCTCAAGATGACGGCAAGTTAAAATAATTTTATTTTAATAAAATTTAATAAAAATTAAATTTTATTTAATTTTACTTTTCAATTATTTTTTGTATTTAAATTTATATAGGAGTTGATTTTTTCTCTGTGGCCGTGCACGAGTTGGGTCACAGTTTGGGTTTGGCTCACTCGCCTCAAAAGGACTCAGTCATGTTTCCGTACTTCAAGGGCTTCAACAGCAACCCTGCCAGACTGGCATATGACGATGTGCTTGCTATGTATCACATCTATGGTAATTTAAAAAAAATTCATAATGATTTTAAAATAACCTTGAACCGTTTCAAAAACGTAATTTTAGAAATTTATTATTCGAGATCTTATTAAAAATTAACTTCTACTGAACAAATATTTCAATCTGAAGAAAGCAATGGAAAAAAGCACTTATATAAATTCAAGTTAATTGTGTTATTTTCATTTTAGGCTTAATTTAAAAATGAAAATTTTAGAGTTAGTTGGAATTTTTAGTAAAAATGAAAGAGACCATGAAATTGATACTCTACTCTAGATCAGTTTATTTTTATTTTTTTTATTTTGTGTTTATTCAACTCCATATTTTCCTCTTATGGAAAAACATGCTTTTCTGCTTCAGATAAGAGCATTTTTGTATTTTATAATTAGTGTTTACGATTTTATCTGTTTTTTTTTTTCAAAACAACAGAGTGCAAAAATGTAAACATTTTCCCGTCCAAATATATTAGCTTATATCGCAAAAGTCGTTTTTTTCAATGCGAAAAAAATATAATCATTGAAATTTGGAGCTATATCATTTTTAATTGCGTTTTGCACTAAAAAAAAAAAATAAAATAAAATAAAAAACATGACATAATATATTTTAATTCTCACATTTTATTAGTGAGCAAAAATCTTCCCAGCGGCGATCAAACCAGTTCAACAACGCGACCAACTGCAACTACAACTCCCAGCAGACCCTCAACACCGAGACCCACCAACCGACCTGCAACCCCTTTAACGACCCCAAAACCGACCGTGCCTGTCACCTCCACCGCAAGAAGTACCACGACAAGATCGCCGGCGGGAAACAAGCCCCCGTCATTTATTCCCACTTACGAGGGAGACTTTGACACAGTTGCATCTCACAAGCAAAAATTCGGCTCCTCAGCCTCCATCGGAGGGACAATGACCGTCCCTAGTCCTCCAAAGGTCGCGGAAAAAAAGAATGAAACACAAGAAATTGCAAAAAATGCGATTTGCAACGGAACGTTTGACGAGGTGTCGCTTTTGCGGGGAGAAATCGTCATTTTCAAAGATTCGGTAATTTTTTTTTTCTTTTTAGATTTTAGATTTTAGAATTTTAAATTTTTTTAAGAACTTGTGGCGGTTTTCCGACAAAAAGATTCCAATTCCCGGCTATCCTGTTCCTTTCAACAGACTTTTTTGGCAGCTGCCGGATCAGGTTGTAAAAATTGATGCAACTTACGAAAGACAAAGTGACAATGTGATTGTCATATTTTCTGGTATACATAATTAAAAATCTAATGTATATTTTAATTTTAAAACTATTAATTCAGGTGATAGATACTGGGAGACTGATGGAAATAATCTATTGAGGAGCTCAGGTTCACCGCTGTCTTATTTGGGGCTGCCAGCTGAGGTGAAAAAGGTTGACGCAGCTTTGGTTTGGGGCAAAAATGGAAAAACCTACTTTTTCAGGTAGAAATAAATCCGATATTTTTATAAATACAGATTTAATCATTATTTTTTTATAATTAAGTGACAAACATTATTGGAAAGTTGACGACCGGACAAATAGGGTGGAGACTACCGGCTACCCTTTGAAAATCTCTGAGAGGTGGAGAGGAATTCCCAGCAACATTGATTCAGCGTTTACTTACAAAGATGGTTATTTAATTTGAGCATAAATTTATTCCAATGACGATTATTTTATTTCCTTGACAGGTGCCACATATTTCTTCAAAGGAAAACACTACTGGAAATTTGACAATGAAGTCATTCACACGGAACAAAATTACCCGAAATTGTCAACTAGAGATTGGTTTGGTTGTTCATAGGACGTTATTCTTAATTCTGATTCAATCTATTTTAAAGACGTGTAAATATTAAAAATAACTGTGCCTTCTGTCTTTTAATGTATTAAAATTAAAACTATAGAAAATTTTGCTAAAAAAATCTTGTTTAATTGGAGGAAATATTTGATATATTCCTTTTTTTTAATTATAATCGAAAGCTCAAATTTAGTCTTTAAAAGCAATTTATTTCTCATTTAATATTACATTATCAAATTCAAATTTATTTGACATAAATTTTTATTTTAGAGCAATTTTTGATAATTCAGCACTCCGGATTTTAAAACGGTTATTGAAACGTCAACTTAAATTTACTTTTTTGGTGGTGAATTTTTTAGCAATTTTAATTTAAAGAGATGATTGACCTGCTTGTCATCGCGCGATGAGCAGATGCACTTTGCTGGCAAAAGTTGATGGATGAATTTTTTTGGCACTTTTATATGAAACTCGCGTCGCCCACGCCGCAGGTTGACATTGCTCGCATTATCATTAATCACCGACGCGCGGCGTTTCGCTCCAGCCCAATGCGGATGCGCGTCTCTTTGCTGCAGATGTAAATTTTTTCCATATCTGCAGACAAACATATTTTATAAATATAAAACGCCACGTTGAAATATTAAAAGTTGGCGACGTTTTCCCTTTTCTTTGTCATGTGTGTGTTTGCGTGTGCTTAGCGAGAGACGAGTTCTTTTTGCACGCGAATTTTATCCCGACGGACGGATTTTTTTGTGCTGTTGAAATATTAGGGCGGCGGAATTACAAATTTCACCACTCCTGGGTTGTCGCACTCGCAATGGAAATGGAAAAGACATTCTATTCCGGCGCGGCCGTTGTTTGCGGCTGCCGCGCACCTTTCTGAAATTGATTGCACCAAAAACGCACACCCTGCGCCGAGTCAACCTCCAGCAAAAATTTCCTCCGAAACAGCAAAAACGCCGCAGGATAATACAAAAGGCGTCTTTCTTGACAATTCGTCCATCAAAAATAAAAAATAAATCCAAATCTACAGAAAAGACAATTTGCTGCTCTCTTTCTTTGCTCTTTTTTTTTAAGTTTTTGAAATCAATTAAGATTTTTTTAATTATATGAGGTTTAAATAAGTAAAATAGTTAAATTAAATCTTGGTTTTTTTATTCAAACGCCAAAATAAAAAGTGAATAATATCAGTCAGAAATAAAATACGAATCTATATAATTGTAGTGATAAAATTTGAATTTTGGTTTTTCGTTGAAAATCTATTTCAGTAAAATAACATTATTTCTTCCTCTCATCTCTGAATTTTGTAAGCAAATTCGATGGTTTTCTCGGAACTTCTGTCAAAATAATTTCCCGAAGCGAAAAGGGAGTTTTTGCTTGTCTGTGTGTGATTTACAGGCAGCCTGATGCTATCTGTCGGTGTTTCCAAAAGAAGATTACGCCACGCGCACCCTTTTCACAATTAATAATGCAAATTTATTTGAAGCGGCGTTCCCGATTTTCTCCCAGCGAATAATTATTTTGGACTCTCTCCCACCGTTGTCAGCAGCACACCGTGGGTAGTACTGCTTCTTGCTTACACATGCAAATTGCCGCTCGCTCACGAGAAGGGCTGAATGGGAAAATTGATTGAGTTTTGAGCACCACACACACATGTTTAATGACGTCGGAAAATGCGCCGACTTACAACGGCATTATATACGCAGCAAGGGCGGAGCCGGATAATTAAACGGAGCGTCAGCAAATTCATCATTGTGTGAATTTTTGATATCAAAATCAACCAAAATTATGCAAATGAGAGAGGGATGGCGAAAATTTCAGTGGATTTCGTCAAATTTTGACAATAAAAAGCTCTAAATATTATCAAATCGTATTTAAATTTATTTCAAATGTTTAATTTTGTTTAATTTGAAGTTCGGAAGCGTAAAAAGTCAATTATTTAAGTGCAAATTAAAATTTAAATGAATAAATAAACTTACATTAAGGAAAGTTTATACTTAAATAATTGACTTTTTACGCTTCCGACCTTATAACATTTGAAACACATTTAAATACGATTTGATATAGAGCATTTTATTTCCAAAAGTTGACGAAATCCACTGAAATTTTTGCCATCTCATTTGCATAATGAATCCAAATTTTGTTCTCCTTTAATTGGTGATGGTTAAAATAAAATACTTTTCATTTTTCCGACTAGATTCTAGATTGATTAATTTCTGAATACTTATTTTAATTTTATATAAAATCCATTAGGGAAATTAAACAAAACCAAGGACACAAAATTGGATTTGCCTCTCTCGGGGGGTTGCAAACAACTTTATAAAGAAAAGTGGAGTGCAATTTACTGATTATATGCGTTTCATATGCAAATTAAGGTGAAAAGTTTGCAGCGCTCTCATCTTAAAAAATTACCACCCAAGTGCACGCCGGGAGCATCCGCAATTTGGAAAATGAGCGTGCGCGTGATAAATTATGAAAGAAGCGCGCGACTTAATTTGGACAGCAGAGTAGGTCAGGAGCTGAGGGGTAGTTACACACGCCGAGACGATAATGAATGAATGATTTAATAATCGCCCCGTCCGCTTGCTGGATAAAACGCATTAAAAGTTAAGGCCGAACTCACTCACGCGGAGCATGAGGGATGGGCAGAGAAACGGGGAAGAAATTTGGCTAAAAGCATTCCGGCGCGTGTTGCCTCGCCCTCATTAATATTGCCGTGTGCCCCGTGAGTGGCTCACCCCTATTATTATTTCATCTCAGCAGCCGCGAGACGTAGATAGACCTGCGAAAAATACGAAAAAGTGGCACAGCTTTCACGCTGAAGTAGAAATCTCCCCTAATGTCTTTCTCCTGTTTTATAACTTTGCAAAATAAAAATAAAAAATTCACTTTTACTGAGAGACGTCGATGAAGTAAAAAATAGTGGACCTAACGCATTTTATAAGTTTTTTTGTTGATTTTTTTATTATTTAAAATAAAAAAATTTCGTTTCCATTAAGAGAATTTTCCTAGACGCATTTCTTCCATTTTTTTTTTGTCTGGCAAATGAAAAGGAAATTTTAAGTTCAAATATTCTTGCTTTTTAATGTTTTTTTTGTTTTTTTTGTTTTTTGTTTTAGAAGAATGTGATAATTTAGCTTGCATAAATTTTATATATATTTTGCTTTTTTTAATTTCATCGATTTAATTTTTTCAATAATCAATAATTATTATTAAAGAAGAAATTATGTTTGTTGTTGCAAATAAATTGAAGTTGTAAATAACAAGAATTAATATTTAATACAAATTAAAGGAAAATTTATATAATTTTGACACTTAATTTATTGTATCTTGGTTCTCAATTTTTTGAAATAATTAAATTACTGTTTTTACATTATACTCATCTCTTTGTGAGAATTTGAAAACAAGCATTTGATTTTGCATCAGCAACCAAAGCTCCATAGGGAAAGAAGGAGAGGGTGCAGAAGGGGTTCTGCTGCTCGCTCAGTTCGAGTGTGGCTGTCGCCTGAGAAGGACACCCTGATCTGTCTCCACACACGTTGCTTTCTGCCAGGATTGCATCAGCTGACTGCTTTCTGCTTCAATCCGCTTTCCACGTTTGAAAAAAAGTACAAGGTATGTTTCCTTGTAATTAAATAGACAAATCTTACATTTTGATTGTTCATTTATTGGAATTTTCGCCCGATTTCTTAAAACATGATTGTTGCGCTGCGACCACGTGTTTCAAAACTAAAAGTTCAAATAATTTTTCTTATCGGCCAATAAATCAATGGGAGTTGGTTTAACTTGTATATTTACTTTTTTGACGCTGAATAAAGATTTTTTTCAATCTTAAAATATAAACCCAAAAATTTCATCAATTTTTTCCTCAAAGAGACCTTGCATGTTGACGTTGGCCCACACGTTTGTCTCCATTGAAAAGATGTCTGGCGTTTCAAAATTGTGAATTTATAATTTTTAAAGATTTTTTTTTTTAAACTTACGAATGCTTAGAATTTGATTTTTATTCAAAAAATCAAAGAAATTTTTTGAACCTTTTGACTTTAAGGTGTATTTCAGTTAATTATAAGTTTAAATCATGAAGTTTATGCGCCTCTGTAAAATCCAACTTTTGCCTCTTTTAATTGCTTTTTTCTTTTACTTCCTCTAAAATAAAAAAATTGGTTTCCATTAAAATGTGCCGGAGACTATCAAACAGAATAATTGCTATCGGGCCACTTTGCTGCTCGCCATGCCGGAATTGAATGAAAAAAGCAGTCCTCTCAATTGCACAGCGCCCGAAGATAATTAATTTCGCTGCTCATCAAGAACTGCTATAAGAAATTCGCCGAATCGCCTCTTCTCGTTCAAAGAGGACGCCTGAAGGATTCTGTTTGTGTTTTAATTAACCCTCCTCAGATGGTTTTGAGTTCGCAGCGAATCCTGCCACGTCGAGTGCCTCATTATCCAAAATTTCCGCCACATGCTCTCAAAACTCAAAACGCGCTTCCCTTTATTTATATCTGAATATAGAGCTCGATGGTGTTAAATCCGTTTATTTTAGCAGCTTTCTATTAAGATTATGGGGGTGAAGTTCGTATATATTTACGAAAACGTGTTTATTTCATCAGCATTTGAGCATTTCAAAGCGTTGTGCAATAATTTTAATATCAATTTTTTCTCAGAAGATGTAAGATGATGTTTTTTAACATTTCTATGTGCCCTTTAAGAGCAATTTAAAATACTTTATTCCGTAAAAAATTACCAAAGAATTTTTTTTAATTTAGAGGTTTCGGCGGTTTCGCTCATTATTTAAAGCTGCCTTTGAGGAATGCTAGCCCGCACAACTTTAAAATGCTCCAGGTTGCATAACCAATAGTTTTTACCGCTGCATTAATGTATCGTCAAAAAGCACTATTTTTATTAAACACAGTATTTAAATAAGTAGGAACATTAAAATCGATTTTTATTTATAATTTCCAAAACAAATTATCAAACAATTTTTTCGTTTTAAGTTTTACACAAATCAGCATATTTCTCAGGCTTAAATTTTTGAATTGAAGTTTGATTATTTTTTTTTCAATGAAGCAAAAGGCGGCTCATGAAAGAAAAAAGCTGAATTTCTCACTCATCG